TCTCTCACGTGCATTTTAAGCCAGATTTCTGACCGACAACTTTCTTCAGCCGCCATGGATTAGTGTTTCCTTGGGGTAACCGACCGAAGGACTACCACCCCGGCAAGGAACTATACATGGTCCCGCTGCTTGCAAGCTATCCTTTGCCTGACTTCGTCGAGCTTATGGATAATTTATGCCTTCCAAAAACCCGCAAGTCGAATTATGTTATCGGTATCTGGGTCTTAACGAGAGGGAAACTTGCCCCGCCGCCGCCGCCACCACCATCTGTGTCCCAACATCCTGGTTCGGTTATCCCGCCACAATCCCCTCATATGCCTACTGCTACCAGTCATCCTATTGGCCAACCAAGCCCTTCTGCAGCCTCTACTGTACCACATGTGTCTGCACCTACACCCTTACCTGTACCTGCAACCATTAATGCGCCCCCACTTACTGCCCTACAACAAGCTTATCCACAGCTTGCTAACACGTCCCTCGCAGCAGAGGTAGCTTCCCTCACGCAGGAACAGATACACATTGTATTAAGAACCCTATCTGCGGATTATGGCATGGGTGTCGGCAACTATTCCACACCACCAACCGCACCAGCTGCCTCTATAGTAGCTACACCGCCTCAGCTATGGAACACCACCACCCCGCCCAGTTTTCCATCACAACCATTCGCTACAGGAAGCGTTCCTCCTGTGAGCCATCCTCCTAGCCATCCACGGGCGGCTCTACCTCCATCGCCTATGCGCCCTAATCCCATATCTCCACCAACGGGTCCTGCACGTGGGTCTTTCAACAATGGGCCGTACAATCGGGATCGAGAGTTTCGTCATGGCCCGGTCCCCCATCACGATAGACCAGATCGTGGAGGATGGACGAATGGTACGCGTGGACGGGGCAGAGGCCGGGGACGAGGGAGAGGGGATGCACCACACCGTCCTCAGGATTCAGGATGGCAAAGAAGTCGGACTCGTAGCGGACCAGACTATGAAGAACATTCGCCTCAACGAGGCCAATGGGACGGTCAGCCTCATCCTAGGTGGTGATGTACGTTGCGTGATTATCGCACTTTACATAAGTTATTACTTTTGATATGGATTGCCTCGAATAATATTCGTTTTGTACGTATGTATTTGTTGACTTGTAAACCGGCCGGTTACTTGTAAATGGCGTCTGTCTACGCTGCCCACCGATCCGCATCGCAAGCCTGGCCACCCTTCAAAAGCTTTGACCACTTAAGAAGAGTTAGTTGAAATGTGTGGCATAAGCTGTGGATATTTGAACAGAGTCCCGGCGCCTCGCAACGTTCGCGGCGCATAAAATGTTCCATGGGCCACCGAACCACGTAGTAGGCTACAATCCCGCACGCTCGAGTTGGGCCGTCAACCAAAAACAATTTTCATTACGACTTGCGTATGCCACGACGTTCAACGGTTGCCAAGGACTCACTGGCACATTCCCATAGTTACTACTGTAAAGGAATATATAACTGAGCCGTCCGCAGGCGAACGGATCGCTTGATATGCACGAATAGTAAGCACATAGATGGCAAAGCGATGAGTATCGATGCCAAATCCCTCCGAGATCGACCAGCCTGGCTGCGCCACTTGAGCATCCGTGGTAGTATACGCCAGGCTGGCCACGAACCTATTGCCGTCATACATCCGGTAATCCGCAATTATTGTACTTGATAGTATATGATCACCGGACTGGATGACCACCCATGATTTTGTCCAGAGTCTTCGTCCTCAGCGGTGTGTCTGCAAACAAGGCACGCACAAGTTTCACCAACTCGTCCACCCCAAAGTCCACTAGAGCTCCTTCTTCGAAAAGGTATGTGAGATCAGCCATGGAAGCTTCCTGAAAAACAAGCGCAATGAGATATTAATCCAATAACCTGATTCCGAATAGATATACCAGGAGTTCAGAAAGATATGAGAATTTCAACCACGACGGAACGTATGACACCACGAAAGATGACTGGGCATTGATGAGTCAAGTATCTTGAAAAGTACAATAAACCTACCTCGCTGAAGTCTTCAACAAAGAGCCCTTCAAGAGCAGCCAATATTCTGCACAACTCGCTCAGTTTGTGCGACTCTACCTCAGGGATATCAGGAATTGCAAGTATATTCTCGAGGATCCGCTGCAATGAAACTTCGACTATTGCTCCCACGGCGGTGTAATACTTGCCCTTAGAGAGGATGGGCTATTGTAAGCGTATACAATCAGCTGCTTTCAACATCATAAGATGCGCCTCAATCGTACCTTCCACGCATTCGCAGCGCTTCGGATCTCGCGAACGACACGGGAAATGGCCATCTCACAGTCATCATATCGATCCTGGTCTGACGTGTCTGTGAAGCCCTTCGCACTCGCTAGAATGTCACCCAGGGTCGTCCGTTGTCTGTCCTGTTCCAATACACGCATGACTACTTCAATGTCAGTGACGGTAAAGAGTCGAGAACTCACGATGCCATCTTGATACCAACTGTCAGCTAACACCTGCAAGACACTCTTGCATTCCTCTAACTTGTCTTTCACAACAAGCATTCCCCGCTCGTGTGTAACCAAGCGACCAACCTCCTCTGCGAGCCAACAGCAGTTGTTGGAGAATTTCATAACATCACCAGGGCGAACGAGTCGTGCTGCAGCGACGATGGGGTACACTGCACGATACAAATCTAATACCAGTGCTCCTGACTGCATAATGAGTACCCCAGGCGTCGTTGTAGATGTTGGTGAGGTGGAAAAGATACCCGACGATGATAGTTCTTGTCCTTCGCGCAACGCGTCCTCGACCGTACGAATGATTGACTTCGCCAGAGTAGATACCAAATATGACTCAGTTATGGACCCTGACGTAGCAGGATGACGAGAAGTGCTGTCCGTGGGGCGAGAGACTCTTTGCGTCGCAGGTGCAGAGTCTGCAGACGGGCGTTGGGATAACACAGGTACTGTCCGCACAGCGGGAGTAACCTCCGATAGGGAAGGTTCTTCACCCCATGGGTCATCCCATGTGTCTTCTCCTTGCCCTAGTTCTTCAGGTACAGGCTCTTCATCATTCCAGCCCCATGCATCCCCTGGGTCTTCCTCGACTATTTCCACAGGTTTAGCTTGTTGACTTTCCTTTTCCTCCTCCAGATCATCATCAAAGCCCCAAACATTCTCCTCTTCTGGCGCAGACCTCGATCCTGCATTCAAACTCTGACCATCGCCATCCAGTCCCCATGCGTCACCTTCATCTGTAGGCACAAGCCCAACCTTGTCAGGGGCGTCTTGTGAGAGGGATAACTGGGCATAGAATGTTGGCTCAGAAGAAGATATACTTTGAACGATAAGTTTGCGAGTAAAATCGAGAATGTGTGAGCGCCGTTGTCGCTCATAATGAGTACAAACATTGTTGACCCAAGCTTTGATTTCCCTCTCGCTAGAAGCATCGAGCATCCCGATGATGTACTTGTCTTCTAAGTCCACTGCCTTGTGTGCAATTTGTAAAAAAGCAGGTAGAGCTTCAAGCTGTGAAGGCAGACCAGGAATAAGTAAACGGGCCAGGACTGCAGTGGATATGGATTTGCTGAGACTTCGCGGAAAACTGTGTTTGTGGGTCGATGGGAGGGTGGGAAATAATTGTTTGTGTAAGAAGTCGAGGGTCGTGGATACGTTGGCAAGTGGGGAACCTGTGTCACTGGTATTTGGCGACGAAGGGAATCGGCCGAGGACGTGCATCAAAGCGCCAGATGTATCTTTCATAGTGCTGACCGTGAGTGACGTCGGCTGGTCAAAAGAACACTCGATGTAGTGTGTTAGAATATCCCTCCTCAGGGTGGAAAGATGCAATGCCAGTGATGCGGAGCTGATCGATGAAAGGACGGACGAAAGGGGTAAGGGCTTCAGTGACCGAGGCACTGGAAAACTACTTTAGATACCCCCCACCATGTTGCTCTGTCACTCACCAAGCACAAATGGTTTGATGACAACTTGAGACGGGTTCACAATAATACTCTTGGTGTAAGCATCGCTGAGCAGCTCCTCCACACAATTGCTAAGCACACGCAGCCGAGCCTACAAGCAAGCAAGTTGAGACAGAACAAAATGATATTACACTCTTACCTGTATTTCAGACACTACCGATGCGTCTTTCAGTGGTCCGGGAACGGAGATCAGCGAGGAATTCAAAGCATGACACGCGACTACAGCCGGAGGCAGATCCCCTGTGTCAACCAGCTTCTGCAGCGCATCCAGTTGTGCTCTACATTCAGAAAGGTGTGAAAGAGAATCACTCAAGACATCTGCATCCAAGGATTCTTGGGCAAGTGATTGGTGAGCTTCCAAAGCCTCAAGCAAGACTGGGACTAGACCGGACTAGTGAAGTATTAGTGATGCGTCTTATGACACAGAGCAGAGAGAATACATGCTTTAGAGTCCGAAAGTGTAACACTTAGGGTTTGGACATGTCCAGAAAGTGCATTCAGTCGTTCTTTCAGAGACTTTGCCGAAGACAGTTGTCTTTGGAAGCTAGAAGAGTCTGCACATATTCTGTCATGGATTTGTGTCTACTCCAAATCATTACTCAACGGAGAATTGATATAATAACGAGAGAATACCTTGGTCAATCGAATGGATTCGTCAAGCTCAGCTTTACATGAGGATGCAAAGGACGAATTTAGGGACTGTAATGTTATAGAGTCGAACTTGGAAAGAACGTTCGATGAAACATCAAGCTGCCGCGGGAGATGATCAGGGAGAGGAAAAGACATACGTCCAACCGACGTCGAAATCAGGAGAGTAAGTCTACACTAGTAATTCTGCACAGTGCACGCCTCCACGACTAGCTATTGAGTCAGGTGATCATAATTCACGTGATTCGTTGCGTCTTAGGTTTTGGACGGTAATTTACTTCAGCTCGGAGTCTGACGTCCAAGTGTCAAGTTACTGACAATGACAAGTAGCCAGTAGAAACTGCAATTCAAGCAGCCCCCTGAAACTTATCAGTATGCGACTCGACAGATTGTGAACGCCACGTCTGCGGTAATTTCGAATTTGGTGATCTACTAGGATATTGTGAATGTGACACAAAATACAACTCGGGAAATTAGATTAGGGTACAGGAAACCTTGTGGAAGGTTGTTGTCAGGTACTTCAATTGTACGACGTATCACTTCGCAGAGAGCTCTACAGCATTTTTGAACGCTCCAAGTAGAGCAGATAATTGCATCTTCTCACTCCCGCCGGTCGATAATCTGTGCCTAATGAGAAAGATATCAATCATTTATCACGAAACTGGACGTAGACGAGACATACTCGGTGGTAGCTAGGAAGTCAAGTAAATATACTCGGGCCTGTGGCTTGAATTCAATCGTTTCCACGTATTCATATGTACCCGATATCAAGTCTTGCAGTGCAAGTCCACGTTCTGTTTTCATGGCCGAGATCACTGACAGAGGTTTTGTGAAACACTAAAAACAGAATGCGAAAGAGCTTACTTTGGTAAGAAGTGGTGAATTCATCGGAAAGCATGGAGTTTACGATGGTTTCAATATCTGACGGGTGAGGGTTTCCAGTGCAGTTATAAATTTCAGTCTCTCCGATAGAGCTATATGCTGCGTGACATGCTTGTAGGACATTAAGGGCTCGCCGCATGTCTCCTTTCGACAGCTTTAAAAGGGCCTTTTTGCCGTCCTGAGTTAGATTCACCCTGTTACAAAGTTGGGTGTTTAGTAGCAACTTTAGAAATCACTCTACATACTTCTCAGCTACCACGACGGTATTCACACGCTTCTCCACCTCTGCAATGGGCAGTGGCGAAAAACGGAATCTCGTACATCGACTCTGAATTGCCGGAGCGATCTTGTTCACGTAATTGCAGATAATGCAAAACCGCACATTCTTGGTGTATTGTTCAATGACACGACGTAGTGCAGCTTGAGCTTGCTGTGTCATCATGTCGGCTTCATCGAGGATGATGAGCTTGAAGCCTTTCGAAAATAATGTTCGGGTCTCGGCAAATTGCTTGATCTGTTCGCGCACTACATCTATACCTCTGTCGTCCGATGCATTGAGCTGAACGAGATTAAAATTGCGCTGTGCAGATCCAGAGGGGCTTCACCTCCAATATCTGTTTCTTGTATTCTGCTCCATAAATTCGTCTCGCCACTGCAAGAATTGTGGACGTCTTCCCAGTCCCAGGTGGACCGTAGAATAGAAGATGAGGCAAGCGGTTCTTCTCAATGAATTTCACAACTGAGTGAAGCTCAGTGTATGCATTGCTCGAGCCAGGCGGAACTCAACTTGTCGTTGTGATATCCTTGTGTGAAACCACATCGTCCAGTGTGACTGGTCGATACTTCTCTACCCTATCGCGTATTGAGCAAAGACGCCGAGGGGGAAAAATGGAAGACGCAACCAAGGCAAATTCTCATCCTCATGCGGCTCATATCTCCCTACAGCCTTTCCTTTACCCTTGTCAAGTAATGGCGTAGAGTCAACATCCATTTGGCCATCACCAGTCATGACGCGTCCCAAAGCAATGAAAATTATGAATTAGCTGGCTGGCGCGTCGAGCGCGACGCGTCGAAAGCAGTAAGTTGATTAGTCAGTCGAGAGTACTCTCACGCACAGACCATCATCAGGTTGATTAAGGTTTTCAGGGATTAATCATCTTTTCCGCATCTTACAATTGCAACCACCACGACTGCGGCTCTTGCTTTCGTCAACGACTCCATCGATCATTCGTTGGATAGACAGAAGCGTCCGGCAAAATGCAGATCTTTGTAAAGACGTGCGTGCAGTTCAGGACTAGTTTCTGTAGCTTCACCTGACATTGATATCAGCCTCACGGGCAAAACTATCACTCTTGAAGTCGAGTCTTCAGATACCATCGACAATGTCAAAGCCAAGATCCAGGACAAGGAGGGGTAAGATTTTCTATGGCACATACGTATCATCAATACTCATCACTGTCTTAGTATTCCCCCCGACCAGCAGCGTCTGATCTTCGCTGGAAAGCAGCTCGAGGATGGCCGTACTCTTAGCGACTACAACATCCAAAAGGAGTCCACTCTTCACTTGGTTCTTCGCCTCCGTGGTGGTGCCAAGAAGCGCAAGAAGAAAACATACAACGTGAGTAGCATTGAATATCCTTATTGAAATTTTATGCTCATCATCCTACTCTAACAGACCCCGAAAAAAATCAAGCACAAGCGCAAGAAGGTTAAGATGTCGATCTTGAAATACTACAAGGTGGACTCGGACGGGAAGATCAAGCGTCTTCGCCGTGAGTGCCCCAACGCTGAGTGCGGTGCTGGTGTCTTTGTAAGTGTTAACTTGAGTTTAACCTGTCACGTGGGGCTGATGATCCATCTCAGATGGCTTTCCACAAAGACCGTCAATACTGTGGCAAGTGCCATATGACCTACACCTTCCAACCTGGTGCAAAGCCTCCTGCTGTGTAGAGTAGCCAACAATTGTGTCATGTAAACTGGTCGTGTAATGAGCATGTTATGAATCGTTCTACGGATTGATGCTTTTACTACATAAACGAGTTGATTGACCGACTTTGTGAGGTTGTGGTTGAGGCCTGGCACTTGAAATATTGATGTCTGTAAGTGTCATGAACTTGTTTTCCGTCCAAGGCCAATGATTGAATGTTGCCCTTGACCCCGTAGCCTCATCCAGTACTTTAGTACCTTACGATAACGCGACGGAATGTTTTACATTGTACTAATGAGTCGAGGGAAAGCAAATACCACGGGGTGATGAACTTCATCTGCGGGAAAGGTGCAGGCAATGTGATCATTTTAATGTCTTATTTGAATTTCAGTACTCAAGTTCATGTGGTGTAGGATTACTATGGCACGAACGAACGATTCAGTGTCGTCGAAGCTGGACAATAACATCGACTACCCATTAGCCAGACGTATCATGATTGAAACCCATGCAGTTATGCGAAACGTTGCACTAGAACAAATGTAAATATGCACGAGATACTACGGGTGGGCACTTTGGACAGCGATGCATATGCATTTTCCGCTGGTTGCCTTGTAAATCACTCATCCCTGTCTTGTATTTCATCTGGCAATTGTGACCCTAGCCACCTCAATATACCAGCCAGCACAATAAAGACAACATAGACTGCATTCCCGTTGAGAATATTGTGTTCCTTTGAGAATGCAAAAAGCGAAGTTGCAAATGCAGGCCCAATGACACGAGCCATGGACGCGGAGGTTTGACCGAGACCATTGATGGTGCCAAGGACGTTCTTTGTGGGGGCAGAGGCCGTGATAAACATGAATACAGTCCCTATAATTATGTGTGTTTTAGTTTCAATGACAGGATAGGGTTTCGTTGTGACACGTACCGTATGCCATATCCCATATAATGGTCAACGCTAGTTGGCTAACCAATGTAAATACGATTGCATGATCAACCATCCCCCTTGTGTGTACAAGCCACGACATGATCGGGAACATGAGCATGACTGGCGCGAAGCACGACACGGACACACAGAAGAGACGCTTTGGACCAACCCAGTCGATAATTTTGGCGAAGAACAGTGCCTGGAAGATACCATCCGCTATTGCAAACGTTGCCATCCACATGCCAATACGAGAAGGAGTAAAACCAAGGCCGCCAAGATAGGTTGGCGTAGAAAAGAACAGCGGCAAAAGAGCCATAAGAGCAATATCAAGCAAGGCGAGCATGGCGTAGTTTGCAATTGGAATGACAATAGTGGGTGTGAGCAGAGATTTCAGGGGCATGTTAGATGTTTGTGAAAGATCTTCTCGATTATTACTGTCGACACCGTTTGAATTACCTAGAGTGGTTGCTGTCAACTTTGGCCGACGCTTGGTTGATAATGTCTGCCGATCATAAGCAATGTTTTGCGATGACACAGGTAGTCAAACTTACTTCTTCCAAGAAAAATAAGAGAACGAAAAAGCCCACTATAATCCCACTAGCAGACACTGCACAGGGTAGAAAATATGGGTATTTGCTCCAAAATGGATTAGCGAATAATCCGGGCCAGTTATCTTGTGGACGCGCGAGCGTTCCGCCTATTAAAGGACTGGTGTGCGGCTTTAATTGTGGCGATTCAGATGGTCGATAGTTGCACTTACCCAATAAAGCCTCCAATGCACCACATTATTGGAATCAAGGCAAATCCCTGAGCCATATTCGTAGAGTCCGTCAATTCGCCCACCATAGTCTTCATCACTGAAACATTTCCGTTCAGTACACCGCACATACAGCGGCTAGAAAACATCGTAAGGATTGTATTTCATATCTTCAGTTGAAATCATACCTAACGACAAGGCCCCAGAACGTCGTGGAGAGACCGAAACATAGCATTGAGATACAAGTTCCTGATAGCCCTACTAATAACACTGGCTTGCGTCCAATACGGTCAGATAACCGACTCCATCTCAGCATTGTCAGTGTCTGTGCGACGAAGAACAGAGATTCCTGTCAATTGTATCCGATTAGTAGTATGAGGAAATCATGATTCTCGCAACTCATAGTAATCTCGGTGCCTACAATTAGTCCAGCATAATATCCTACGGCCGCGTCGTCACCGCCAGTAATGCCAAGTTCTCTGATAAGCTGAAAATAAACATATGAAGAATGAATGTAAAACAATCTGATGACCCATTGTCAAATCGTCATACCTGATTGATGTATGGAAATATGGACATGGAAGCGATAGGTTCGACAAGTTGCAATACCATAAGTATGCCTATCTGGAGTTTTGGAAGTGGAGTTTTAGGCTTTTTTGTCCTTGCTACTACGACCAGAGGCGTGGTTTCGCTTATTATACGAGGAGAATTTGAGGTGTCCATTCTGCTAATCAGCCTTGGGAGTCCAAAGAGAAGAGAAGATGGAGCAAACTGCCGGGACTGTATTTATATGGCCTTGTGAATGAGTCATCTTGGATTTTTTATACTTATGACATTAATATTAATATCAGTCCAGGCGTCAGGGCCTCGGAGTCACCGTCATGATGAATAATTTCAGAAATGACTCTAAGCCTAAGATGGAAACGTCTAATTATAGTTTTTGTGTTTGGCAAGAGCGTTAGAAACAAACAACCTTGGCCTTACCCACCTGCGTCTCGCTTCCGTTATGATTGAAAAGTTGTTCCTTACTTTGGCTACGCTCGCGCTTCTTCACGGTATGAACATCCTTTCTGAAATCTCACACTACTCAAGTTGCTCCATAGCTGCATATTCCACGTACGAACGTGAGCATCATAATAAAGCTTAGAGCCCGAGGCGCCAGGATTTGAGTTTAGGGCTAAATTTACTTGCAGATTTGTCACTTTTGAAGGCTTTGGGAAAGCCCGAAGGATCATTACCTCTAGATGTAAGTAAACTCATCACGTCAAGTACAACATAAATAACAGTATGCTCGGAGTAGATCGTGTATGAGAGCATTCTTGCGCTCATTCTTGGGCTGCTTGGAGCATCCTTGAATGCTCCACCATTGAAGGATATCACTTGGGCAAGTGAAATGAAGAAACGGTGGGTGATTTTTCGAATGTTGATCTACTCGCTGAAACAGTGTCCTGTTTTTAGGACAATTGACGGAATGGATTCACGACTGGGATTCGCACACTACAAGTCTCGCGGAAAGTTTTTGTTTGCGAGTCCACACGATGGTAAAATATGAAGTGTTGCCGATAAATTGTTCATCATATGCATGCCAAATGTTGCGCGGGTATATAACATAACACTGCACAACGTTGTAACTAGCCTCAGTCGTCATCATCCCCGCCAGATTTCTTCTTGGTTTTCCGTTTTTCTTTTCGGGCTTTCCTTTGATCCTCCTTTTCGGCAGCAGCATCCATCGCAAGAAAATCGCGGATCGAGGGTAATGCGGATGACTCTAATGGTTTGAGACGCAAAGGTTCCTCTTCCTCTTCATCCACTTGAGGTATATGGTTTGATGAAGGCAACTGAGGTGCAGCGCTCTCAGTGGATGCTAGTGGTTGTATTGATCCTTCGTCATTGTGTTCGTCTCCAAACCATCCTTTAGAATGAGCAGGTTCGAATGAAGGATGTAAATCATTGATACGATGCTTCGATTCGGTGTTGTCGGCATCTACTAAGTCATCTTCATCACTGTCATCGTCCCCAGGAAAGCCTTCATAGTCACCAGCCCCCGCAAAAATATCTACATCGTCGTCGAGTGGAGATGGAGGGCTTTGTGAAAATACTTTGGCAACAGAAAGTGGCGCTACCGCTGGAAGCTTAGTTTCTGGGTGGGGAATGGTGTTGGATGGCTGAGGTGAACCCAAAATTCCCTCCACTTTCCTTTTCTTCCTCTTCTTGTCACGGCTTGCGCTCTCTTCCTTGCTGCGCTTTTTGGTACCCTTGTCCTCTTTCTGCACTCCTATTGGCTTGAAACCAATTGGTTTGAATTTCCCTGCCTTCTTTGCTTTCTCAAGGTCACGGGCCTCATCTTCGAGAGGCTCCGCGGTGGTGTCGAAGGATTGCAAGCCCTCGCCGTTCCTTTTGGCCTTCAGCTCACGGATGATGTCTTCGCGAGTCCTCTTCTTATGTGCCGTGGGTTTCGAAGAGGCTTCAATGAAAGCTTGTTCAAGGGTATCATCATCTTCGGTAGAAGCAGCTGCCCGAGCTTTGTTCTGCTCTAGCAGGGATATATCTAGGCCCTTCACTAGAATTGTATGTTCTCTGTCTCCGCCAAGATACTGGCGCTGCTCGTCGACCTAGGGAATGTCAGTAGAAACATGAAAATACATCGGATAGCACCCACCGTATCTTTATCTTCATTTGCAGTCCGCTGTTCGAAAACTTCGAGAACAGCTTCGACCTGCACTCATTATTAGTGTCCTAAGCACAGGACAAGGGCAGGTGTACCTGAGCATAGTCACTTTTCCCGCCATCACGTCTCTCCGCGGCCCTATCACGGTATTTAGATTCAGTCTGCTTCACCTTGCGTGGCTTAAATGTTGGCGTAGATGATCCCGAAGCTTTCCTGTCAATTTAGTTACTACATGCATTTAAACTCGAGATATTGGACATGCTGCTTGAATAGATCGGATGCTCCCCGAGCTCCTTTGAGTTGCGAAGTCGCACCGGGCACTCGAGGTGCCTGAAGAAGTTGCCTGAAAGAATCCTGTGTCAAGTATCAGAGATATGAGAGCTCGATAGGCCATCCATTTACAAACCTGATCCATAGCAAGGAGTGAAGGCGTTAACTTTCAACTATTTCTTTCGAGGAGGCGTTGTTTGCACATGTTAGAATCAGAGGCCCGGTATTCACATTTAGTATTTATAATATTGCTGGTGGTTGTTGCCGTGGCCGTCGGTTACAATGTCAGAAACGCTTACTAATTACTAATCAGCCTCCCTTGTTAATTTTTAAAATATCAACAACTCGTGAGTACTTATCGCTCATTGTCGACCATCTCTAGACTTCTTGTTTTTCTGTTTGGAAGGGGAGTCAGGACAGGTGCCACTGCCGGGTACCATTCCGGCTCGAATTTTTGAGGGTCCTGAATATTTCAACAATTTAGAAGGAACCCAGGCCCGAGTCGCTCCAGACGCTGAGTAGACCCACCTTGGACTTAAACACCGTGTCCGTTTCTGTATCGAAGGCTTGGAAAGCAACCTGGATTTGCCGCTTTTATCGATTTAATCGATTTAATCATTTGGCATGTTGTCGTTTGCTGTGGGACACTTGGCACTTCCTGATCTGATTTAGATTAAAGCGGAGGTGGGCATCTAGATTCTTAATGCTCATCCTGGGTTTCCGCGCGTTTCGTCCCACAACTCGCATTTATAAGCTCTTCAGTTTTGTTTCACGTTCAACTCATACCAGAACCATGGCCACTCCCTGGACACCTAACCAATATCCACAAGCTCGTCGGTCCGATCATGTCGATATCTACAAGAGCGAGAAACAGGGCGAAGTTCGCGTTTCTGATCCATATCAGTGGCTCGAGCAACAGTCACAGGAGACTGATCAGTGGACCACGGCGCAAGATCAATTTACTAGATCTCACTTAGATAAAAATCCTGCTCGAACTAAACTAGAGCAGGAGATCAGGGCAAATACTGACTATGCTAAGGTCAGTCATCATAACAGTTAGCTGTTTTTCTATTATTCTCACTTCTTCCAAGTTTTCTGCGCCATCGCTGAAGTATGATGGTCGTTGGTACTGGTACTACAATAGCGGTCTTCAGCCTCAGTCAGGTAGGTTGAGACACCATGAACATGTTGGATGCCAAATATCTAGTTTCACAGTGATTTGCCGTTCTAAAGACGCTAATCTCCCTGATGGGTCGGGGGAGAAGGGGCCAGGCGGAGATGTCTACTTTGATGTAAGTCGAAATGCCCGTCTACTTTAAGCGGATTTGGGTAATGACACATGACTACATAGCCCAATCTGTTGTCCACTGACGGCACTGCGGCCCTCTCTGTAACGGCATTCTCTCGCTGTGGCGAATACTTCGCCTATGGCATCTCGTTGTCGGTCCGTGATTATACTATGTCATTCGGAACAGGACGTTAATCTCCAGTTCATTCCAGGGAAGCGATTTTTATACAGTTTATGTGCGACGTACAAGCGAACCTTTCACTGCGATTGATGGGCAACCTAACGATCACCATGCAAAAAGGCTTGCAGAGGAGATTCGTTTCGTGAAATTTTCGTCCATCACTTGGACTCATGATTCTAAAGGTTTTTTCTACCAGGTAGGTCCTGAGTAATTTATATTTTGTACCTGACCCCGAAGGTACTCTCCCCAGCGGTTTCCAAGCAGAGAGTCTCATGGTCTTGCAACGGAGGACAAAGCTGGCACAGAAACCACAGACGATAAGGATGCTATGCTCTACTATCACAGGATCGGAACTCCACAATGTTCGAGCTATCTACATCTGGTTGTATTGCTACTCTTTTGACTAATTCAATCATTCAGCGCAAGATATCCTAATTATCAAAGATGCCGAGCACCCCGAATGGATGTGGGGTGCCTCGGTTTCGGAGGTAGATGGGAGATATCTGTTTCTTGATATCGTCCAAGACACTGGAAAGGTTTGCGCTCATCCCTTGTCCTACATCGCCGATTTACTTGATTATTTGGGGCTTAGAAAAACATGCTGTGGGTGGCCGATTTGCAAGAAAATGAAATTGGCCCAAACATGAAATGGGACAAGATTGTAAACGAGTTCGAATCGGAATACACGGTGTCAGTGGTGTCATTAATCTTTGATGGAAACCACTTGACCTGCTGACACCCCATGCCATTCTCCCATCAGTATCGCGAATGACGGAACTAAACTATACTTGCGGACAAATGAGAACGCGCCTCAATGTCAAGTTATCACGATCGACCTCGCAGACCCATCGCGCCAGCACAAGGTCTTAATACCGGAAGTCAAAGATGCATACTTGGACGACATTACTGCCGTGGGAGGTGATAAACTGGCCGTTGTATACAAGCGCAATGTAAGTAGAGCTGCTCCACACCCTCCCATATTGCGGAAGCTAACGTCGTGGAGGACTGCAGGTCATCGATGAATTATATCTCTACTCGATGGAGGGCAAACAGCTTACTCGGCTTGCTCCAGAATTCGTTGGTGCTACAGAAGTCAATGGCCGCCGAGCACAGTCGCACTTTTTCGTGTTCCTGACTGGGTTCACCAACCCTGGGATTGTAGCACGATACGATTTCGATGAACCAGGTGAAGACAAACGTTGGAGCATATACCGGTCAACAATAATGGAGAGGCTGGTACCGGATGAGTTCAGCGCTGAGCAAGTCTGGTATGAGAGCAAGGATGGTACGAAGGTGCCGATGTTCATCGTGAAGCATAAGTCAACAAAGTCCGATGGAACCGCACCTGCCATTCAATACGGTAAGATGCCATCGTCCGTTTTAATCAATATTTGACACTATGAATCAGGTTATGGTGGATTTAGTATATCACTCAGCCCCTCGTTTAGTCCTACCATCCTGACTTTCATCAAGGCATATGGTGCTGTATATGCTTTACCCAATATTCGCGGAGGAGGCGAGTTTGGCGAGGAATGGCATCTTGCTGGCACAAAAGAACGGAAGGTGCAAAACTTCATTACTGCTAAAGACCATATCTAATGGTTGCCACAGATTAACGTTTTTAATGACTTCATTGCTGCTACGTGAGTGGAGTTCTCTAGCCATCGCAATCTGACAACTCACGTGTGCAGTGAGTATCTTGTTAAAAACAAGATTGCTGCTCCCGGTAAGGTTGCCATCAACGGTGGATCCAATGGAGGCAGGTCATTCCACCCGCCTATTTGTAGTGATTCTTAACCATGATGTTAGGATTGCTCGTGGCCGCTTGCGTGAACATCGCCCCAGAGGGCACATTCGGGGCAGGTGTGGCCGAAGTTGGTGTGCTTGACCTCCTGAAGGTGAGCGTCATGTTTTTGGTAGTATCTATCCCTGCTCAGCCGTGGCACTTATAGTTCGCTGACTTCACAATCGGTAAGAACACATTACATCGCAGAGTTTGACGTCGATCTAATGTATTGGTCTGCAGGCAAAGCGTGGACGTCTGACTACGGAAATCCACATGACCCACATGACTTTGATTTTATTTATCCCATTTCACCGCTCCATAATGTCCCAACGGACAAGAGCCTACCTCCGCTGTTGCTCATGACTGCTGATCGTGTGTTGCTTGGTCTGAATCATTGAATTTTAGCTGATCAAACTATGTCAGATGATGATCGAGTCGTCCCCCTTCACTCGTTCAAACATGCCGCGACGTTGCAACACACACTTGCCCATAATCATCACCCCCTCCTTATTCGCATTGACAAAAAAGCAGGACATGGCGCAGGTAAGGCTACTGAGAAGAGGTACGTGCTTGTTCTTCTGGGAAGTCAAAAACATGTGACATAGTGGCTTTACAGGATCCAAGATGCGGCAGACAAGTGGGGTTTCGTGGCCCAATCTCTCGGGCTAGAATGGCAAGATTGATCATGTCCAGCAAGGACAAGAGCGATAGTGTATTACACGGCGATGCGCTCGTAAATAACCCCTCATTCATTACAATATTGCCTCCTTGCATCACTAGCCTCCGCAAGTGCTAGGCCCTCCACGCATACAGTGTGGACCGCCGAATTGTAGATCAATGAGTGAACGATCCCTGCGGAGGTCAGATAGGTCCAGACTCCAGAGCATCGTGGTTATGGACTCACGTTAGCAGGGTCATGAAAGGACGGTCGAGATGGTGATTCCCGAATATTGGTGCTGGGAACTACGTGGAACTGAGGCACTCTGCTCATAACGCGATCAACTATCACATACTAAGGATGAAGGCAGCGCGACCAGCAAACACGTTCAGCAACGAGTACATAGCGTCACACATAATTCGCGAAGGTCAGGCAATTGGTGTTCTGGTGATAAAGGAGACATTGAAGATGGGCGTACACGTTTGGAATCATACAGACAAATTGACATAATGATCGGCATGAAAATTTTTATGAAACAAGGCATGAATATTGAATATTGAGCGTTCTGTTCTCTTGATCTCGGCTAAGCCTACATCACGAGGATTCAGATGAAAGAGGCACAGATTAATGAGCAGTGGCCGGTAAGTTGGGTCGAAGCGGGCAGTTTGAGATCCTGCTGACATTGAATGGTTCTAGCATTATGAAGGGTCCGTGCGAGGGCTCCTTTACGCGACGAGCGCCCGGAATCCCATTGTGGTATCCGTGCCGTTCAGGGATGGAATCAAAAAGGTCGGTAATATCTTGAACTTGCAGGTGATGCACTGGGTGAATCAGCTGGGACCGGACCTCTTCAACTCATCTACTGGACAATTTCGTGAAACTTATAATCTGATTGCGGAAATACTGGCGGGGGCACCTGCGGTCGGATACACATTCTTCCGGGAGCATCCTGCTGTGTTCGCTGCGCCCAACAGGTTAATTCGGGGAATAGCAGGCATTACGGCAAACCAGACGACGTTACTGGCAACGTCTTGGTGATGAAACATTGCCAGAGCAAAAAGAACGAGGTCATGGACTGCGATGAGAACAGTCCATGGGCCAATGGTATCATGAAACAGTGAGCACTTTTTCGCACGGCACATTTAACAACTGACATTGCTCAGGTCCGTTAGCCGGGGTTGATTCTGGGGTTGAATGGGCGGAAACTATATCGGGTTTATTGAAGGAGTAATGTTCGTATAGAATAGACATTGAGACGGAGAATGTGTGTAATCAACCACGGAATATGCAAGCCAAAGGGAGTCGGGGACGTGCCGCGGCGGTGATACCGATGCTGTGGCCCTGGATGACCTTGTGAAAAAAAGGCCTGCAATCAGCGCCACAGCCTTCTCATGCTGACAATCAAACGTTTGGAACGTAATACCATCGTGAGCGGCGGTCAGGTTTGGATCTTCGGGGGAATTTCTGTCTTGAGAACCCGACTTGACTTTTGCTTTGGGATCGGAGCTGGCAAAAAGACACGTCAGTGTGATGACCTGATTAGTGATAATAGCAGGACATGCCGTTTGTGTTTTCTGTCACATAAAAGCGACGTAAAATCATTATGGCTTCTTCTCGAAGGTACCCGCTGGTAGCTTGGTAGGATGGATGAACTGGATGTCTCCCGCTGACGTGACTAGTCGAACTCGGAATCGAAAAATAGCATCGTGACAACAGACCTGGCATTGACACCTAACACACTCCCGCACCCGCCAAACTTATCATTCTCACATCCATAAAAGACTTCTTTAATGCCTAACTGACGAAGTGCAGATGCGCACATGATGCATGGTTCCACTGTGACATACAATACAGTATCTGCCAGAGGATAACGAGTGGACTCTGGTGTCAGCTCCTTATCAGCAAGGATAAGATCGATAGCCTCGAGCTCGGCATGTCTAGAAGCCTGTAAAGCAGGAATTAGACCAGCGGATGCTACTGGATGACCTTATGGTCACATTTCTTAATTCATTGGTGCGATTCCTTGCACGCGCAATTATGCAGTTTTTCCGGACGAAGACGCAGCCCACCGGCACTTCGCTATGTGCTAATGCTTCTTCTGCCTGAAGTGTGTTATGATCAAGCAATACTCTAGACACGGATCCTCACCATTACCATTGCTTCTCGCATCCATTTTAGATGAATGAACGCAATGTTCATATGGGTTTGTTCAACGTTGTTGTCTTCCTCCTCCATGATCTTTGGGAATCAAAAAGTCGAAGAAGTCTTGGACCAGGACCGGAAACTCGGAATCAATTGTGAATGACAATCAAAGCTTCGCTGGGTTTAAAAATTGGACATCGGTGTCCACTAACTTACTAACTAGCCTACCACCAACGTTGTCGCTCGTCAGCAGACGCTACGGCGCAGCAATACCACACAGCTTCTATTGATATCTTGTAAAACACTAAGGCATATTTGAGGCAGCATTTCTTAAGTGAGATCAGTCTGATTCACATTGTCGTTGTTGCTAACATTTAGCACCAAGTCCTTGCTAGCAGAGCTCAAATGCTCTCCGCTCCACCCCTCAACCAAGAAAAGTCGTCTGGCACGACAAAATATAAGACACCACCGTCAGTGCTCCATGGGGCGCAGGACACCGAGTCCATCGTAATGACTACCCGCACGGAAGACGGTAGATTTTCTACAACAGAAGGCACACTCCACGTTTCGAAGCCATTCCGGTCAAGATCGACGAAGAAGCTTCGCGCAATGATTACATTTGAACCCAGGAAGACGCACTTTGACACTACTAACGAAACTTCTGGCACCAATGAGTTCAGAGTTCGTCTCTTGCGTTGCGGGCGCATACGGTGGAAACTAATACGTTAATTGCCAGGGTTTCTTCACGCTTTTCTGGATGTCATTGTTTCTGTTCACAGTACAGACTTATGTCAGTAGCGTTGAAGCTAATGGTTATGCTCTATCGTTCGCTTTCGCGACAATGTTTTCGCGGCACGCAGTCACGTTAGCACTCAGTGACTTGCTCCTGGTTTCCACCACGATTTTATGTGTCCCGTTTGCCAAGGCCATTAGCAAGGGCTGGATCAACTACTATTGGACAGGCGCCATTCTACAACACGCATTCCAGACATGTGTGCTACTTATCACAGTCACGTGGACATTTCATAGGTACGCGCCATGCCATCTCTCTCTCACTCGTATTTTGACCACTGAACACCCCTAGACAATGGCCCTGGGTCCAATCCGGCTTCCTCACTCTCCACTCACTTGTGCGCCCATCATTTAGTGCTTCAAGTGCTTTACTAAGGGCGAGGAACAAAGGTCATGATCATGAAGATGTACTCTTACATTTCTGTGAACGGCTACCTCCAATCGATTTCTAGACGCTCGATTGGTGTTCTTGCAGAGCTCAATGGTGCTACAGCCCGTGTTGGAGGTCTGAAACAGGCGTTGGATGACGCAATGTCGAAGAGGGCACAGGCACAGCCGGCAGCCGAGACTCCGGCTACCGATGTCACATCAACGCCGATGGAAATGTCCACCCCCGACACCGAGGGAGTATTGATGAAGTCGTACACGGATGTGAAGACTGCTGCTGCGTTGAGGCAACGGCTTGCTGCCATCTCTAGCAGCTTGGATGAGAATACAAAGTCAGAACGGGGTGCAGACAATGGAAATGGGCGCGGAGTTGATGGAGTTGAGATTGCGCATGTTCTTTCGTACCATCCGGATGAGCACGTCGCAGGTCTAGCAAAGGAATTCCTGGACTTGGACTCGGAGCTAGTGAGTACGGGCCCGGAACAAGTGCGTTGGCCCGATAACGTCACATACCGGAATTTTGCGGTCTATCAACTGATCCCAACCTTGGTATACGAGCTCGAATACCCAAGAACCGACCGGTACGCTGCAATCCACTTCAATGCTACGTCATGAACTGATAAGGAGTTGCAGAATACGGCCGGTGTACATTTTTGAAAAGACAGTTGCGTTCATGGGTTCATTTGCGCTGCTATATACAGTTGCGGAGTGTTTCATCATACCGCTTACCCCTACGCCGGATCAATCGTTCTTCCGCTCCCTCCTTGACCTTGCATTACCGTTCATGATTGCCTTTCTGCTTCTGTTTTATATCATATTTGGTGAGTGTTGAGCTGGAGCTGATAATGTGGTCTTGAACTGACGGACACCTAAGAATGCATATGTAATGCGTTCGCTGAGTTGTCCTAGTAAGATTGCTGCGCTTGTCACCTTCTGATATAGCTGATGTGTCCTTTGTAGCTTTGCCGATCGCCTGTTCTACGAGGACTGGGTGAGATGATTTTGGGACCCAACTGCATCGCGAGTGACTCAACGTTGTTTTATACAGTGGAACTCTACTTCTTGGGAGGAATTCTCACGTAAATGGAACAAACCGGTGCATAGTTTCCTTCTTCGGCATGTGTATGCTTCAACACGGGCCTCGTACGGCCTATCGCGCACCACAGCAATGTTTGTCACATTTTTTCTCAGCGCCATGGCGCATGAGCTGGTCATGGCAATTGTGACGAAAAAGATTCGGTGAGATAATCTGTTTTTTTTTCGTTTTTATTATGATACTTATGAGCGGGCGTGGCCGATGCAGCATGTACCTATTCCTGATGCAACTCGTGCAGATCCCATTGATCTTGGTGAGCCGAGCACCAGTGATCCAGCGCAACAAGCTCATGGGGAACGTGGTGTTTTGGCTGGGACTGTATGCTGGCTTCCCACTGCTATGCGTTGCGTATGTTGCATATTAAGGATGTGACGGAGGAGAAGGCGAACGATGATCCATACACGATCAGAAGAACAGACATCTGGAGTTATCAAGAGGGATTTCTTCGCTACCGTAAATTACTATACATGTGTAATTTAATATGGAGTATGGAATGCATTCTGAACTCTGATAACATTCAATAAGGTGCAGGCGGAGGGACTTTGAGTGAACGAGTCCAGAGTAAGTCATACGAGAGGCGTAATACGACTGCACTTTTGTATGTGGAAGTTATTAATATTGGAACAGAACGGATATACGGGGCGTGACTAAGTATTAAATGGTGCGTCGATAGCGGCTACTTCCGCATCAAGCCTAGCTCACAGTGATCTGTGATAACAACTGATAACACAGCGGCGCTATCATAGCAGAGATATGCGCAGTAACTGATCATTGATATCGGCTGCATGGAAACGCAGGAAATTGTTGTGAATCGTTGAGAATACAGTGAGATGTGACATAGTCGGGATGCGTCGTAGTTGGTAAACGGTAATTTGCCAACTGCTGCATAAGCGCAGTCGAAGCTTCGTCATGCTGGAAAGCAATGGAAGCACTCGCATTCGTCTGGAGTAACTCGGGCCGTTACAGCGGTGACTTATGTATGAGAAGGTGCAGCTTATCATTTCCGAGAACTAAGAAAAGAAAAGAAAAGAAAAGTCTTGAAGGTGTTCAATACTTGTTCCGAATTTAGGTACACGCTTGGCATACTGAAATAGTTAGTGCAAACCAAATCTTCTAACGAAGTGACCAACCTGAACCAGTATTACTTACATGTCGTTGCCAGTACCAAATTCATTTAGGTTCACGGCATCACGAGTTGCAAGCCACGACTCGGACGTCGGTCAACCTACGATTGAAGGTATGTCGAGTGTCTGGCAGTCTCTGCGACCTGTGGGACATCACATGTACGGTGTCACGAGTCATCGGCTCTCGCGTATCCATGAGTCCTTGTAGTTGAGCGCTATCCCATGGCTGTGTGTTATGATAGGGATGCAGCTGGGGTCTTACTGTGTCGTAAAATGACATCGGAAAGCGAACAAGCGCTGTGCAGGTCTAGACGCTTTTATGAAAAGAACGTCCAGGGTCTAGAGTGAACTATGAAACGTATGAGGGCAATGACAGTCTATAGAGAAGAGTTTCACATGGAAGAGTTCGCCTTCCGAAGGGGTGAGATCCGATAGTGAGAGGGGCATTGGATACTAATTACGAGAGTCGTGGCAAATCGAGGCAGTGACGAAGTTGACAGCCAACGTTAACCGTTGTATTAGTCCAAGAGACTCATGCGTCCCTTGGGTCACGGCAAGGGCGGATCCCGACCGACACGAAAGCGGATAAGTTTGAACAAAGAAACCTGAGTGCCTGTTACTCGGGTCGCCAATTGTGCCGACTCGATCGGGTATAAAAAGGGCTTTCAAGCTAGCACATTTATTATGTATGAAGCAGCACTCGTCTCGCTAGGAATTTAAAAAGACCTACTACGTAGTACAAACAATTGGTGAGTTTGAGACATCCGACGGTCCATTTTATCATTACTAATACACGCACAGAAAGCATTGTCAGCTGGTGTGCTGCAACGTGTAAAGCGGATCTTTAGCAAGCATTAAAAGGCAAGTCACCCATCCGTCATCAGTCCTACCTTCTCTAAACATCCAACCGCAGTGCCATCATCCAAGCCTAAAGCATCAAGAACATTCGCAATTATACTTCAGCACCACCCAGCTTCTCGACAATGCAGGTCAAGTCGATCAAAACGTTTGTGAAAGACGTCAAGAGAAGGCTATCCCAGAAACATAAGCGAAAGTCATCAGCTACCACCACATCGACAACCACTACAACAAGCTCTTCTGCCCCATCCACACCCTCTCCTAACCACTCTCCTCTGTACGATGATCATTATTCACCGAACACAATCATTACACCATCCAGCCCTCGCAGTGCGTCAAGCAGTGCAACTCTGGGCTCTCGCTACTCTTCGGACGTTATCGATATCAGCTCAAAGCACTCCAGAACACTCTCAGAAGACATGATGTCGGCTGAAACCCATGGATCGGATAACAGCGGTACCTTTGTCACCGCCGACTGGGGTCTTGCTTCTCCACGTGCACGCATTAAATCCCTCGACCGAAATAGTTCGGTTGCAGAATCAGCCACTTCCTCCCACCCTTCCCAGAGCTCTCTCTACGCTTCTGCTCAGTCCATGCATCTGGAGGATTCTATCGATCGCCCCCCACAATTACTCCAGACTTTACCTGAGGATAGTGGGGAGGGTCCAGGTACACCATCACAAGTGTCCGAGCCTGAGCTACCGGACCCGTTCATAGTTGAAGGCTCAGAGGATGCCTCGTCCGAAGGCGAGGATGCCTCATCTGAAGTTGAAGCTGCTTCGCTCGAGAGTGAAAGTGTCCCCCCTGCAGATGAAGAGATCGCCCTCGCACAATCAGCACTTCTTACGCCTTCTGTACCCCTCTCGCTACCTTCCCCCAACGTCAACAAAGACGTGCCCCCGCCTCCCCCAAGCGACACCGAGTCTGAGGCACCCGAATTGTATCTTCCTGGGCTAACCATGCCTACCATGTTCTTACCCATCCCAAACGTACGCCTCTCTTTATCTTACACTCTCACCTGGTGGTTCCATCAACGCCCACCATTGATGTATATCCCATGTACTATTAGACGGACCCTCTAAATATTCTCCTCACGAAATATGTATCTCCGCTAGAGAAGCGTCCTGTACGAGATGTCACTGGCGAATGGCAGCATTCTGATTTTCACTCCATGGTTGTGAGTATGAGTGTACGCCTTGTGCTAATCCAAGATCTCAATGAGTGCGCCCCGAATATTAGATGTCAAACAGTTGGCGTGCGCTTGCCAGAATGGCGCGAGATCGTCTAATAACTTGTGATCCTGAGGACCTCATTCGTGTTCTCGATGTAAGTACATGACGGCCATGCACGCTATGACTTAGCCTCTTTCAACAGCTCTGGTCTTTACGCCTGTCAAGCCTCGCTCGTCTCCGTCTCTACAACCAAACATCTGCTGAATGCACCAACCTTTTTGCAGTGCTCAATGCCACAGAGCCCCCGTCCGCCCGAGCATACCTATTCGACCGCATCCTTCCGTTTGAGCTCGAGGTCATGCACGCACGCCTCAAATACTGGGCAGGCGACCCCATGGGCTACCTGGACATTCTTTACGCTTTGCTCAAGAAGTGCAAGCTTCAAGCCAAGATTTCGAAAACAGAGGGCGACGACTCCAGTTTATCGATGTGGCTTGAGCGCGCTGCACGGATGTGCCTGATCATCGCGTCTCAAATGATCGAGATGAAGGCATGTATATCTTTACATATCTCGATAAGCGAGCTGATACCCCTATGTGCAGGACTTTACTGCTGCAACGAATCTTTTAGAGCCACTGTTCGCACAACGTACTGGGCAACAACCCTCCCCTGCCATCCGGTCTGCTGTGGGTCGCATTTACTTGCAGAGTGGTTACCTTGCGCAGGCTGCGGCGCATTTTGCTGTCGTGGAGAGTGATGCCAGCGTCCCGCAGACACTCAAAGATATGAATGCTGCCTTGCTTGCATGTGCTGAGGGGAACTGGACGCGGGCGGATGAACTGCTTCAAGCCCTCGTACAGGCAGAGCCGGATAACTTTGTGGTAAATACTTCATTGGCGTTGTTTTGCTTGCAATTGATATTTACACACTCAGGCGATCAATAATCTGTCTGTGGCTCTTCTGAGCCAGGGAAAACTCAAGGAGGTGAATATTCTCTGACTTTTATCGTGTTTTCGTGCTCGACGGCTTTCCTAGAGTATCGAAGTCCTTGAGACTGCAATGCATAGCTCCCCGTCGGCTGTCGTGGTGGCAGAACCGTACCTCTTTAATCTTTGTGCGTGGATCATCAATCCCATTGTGGAAATTTTTGAATACTGAAGTCTTGACAGCGACGCTCTATGAGCTTCACTCAGCCACGGCTGTAGAGAAGAAACGCGACCTTTTGATCGAGGTGGCGAAGTGGAGTGGAGATGGACTGAAGACGACATGCTTGAAGATGCCGTCTACATGACAGATTCTATCGTTATATATTGGGCTTGTATCATATGAATGGGATGAACTGGTTTTGGTCCTGTAAACTGACTGTCCACTCCCTGCCACCCAGTCTCAAGAAACCCCTCACACAGGTCCCCATATACGTAAGTACTTGGAAGTTAATGGCACGAAAGCCCCATCACTTACCTTTAGATACCAGGTAAGTACTATAGTGCACGAACGAAGATAGCAAGGGGTGGGGGCTGCATATGAGAAACCAAGTCTGGCCACTCACTTTCGACCGGTCACGTTCCCTTGAGTGCTCACAAGTTTCTGATGCGCAATTCGTCGTAGAAGAACGTTCGTGTTATGCCCATCGGATGAGGTACTCTGGGTGGCTTGCAGCGACTGTGCGCTTGTTCCAACACCGGCTGCCAGGTGGACTCTTGCAGCCCTGCCTCCCACTACTCACCCAGAGCGCATGAGCATCCAGTGTTTCCAACACTCTTTGCACGTATGTTTTGTATGTCAATGCCTTTCATTCGATACACGTCTTAGTTGTTTGTCTGGTCTTTCCCTCGAGTCATCACGATATTTGACAGTCTCGCAAAATTACATCTTTATGATCATTGCGCTTCCAGACACCCATCCAGCTGATAGTTGCCTTTCCTTTAGACTTCGCCTCCCAGCACAATTTCCTTCTTCGGACGACTGGTGCTGGGATTCTACCAACCAGCTATATGCATCGGGAGCCCCTATTATACTGCCAACGAGCGCTACTATCCTGGACTGCGGGTCAAGCAGGGGCAAGTGCCCGGGTATCTTCAAGATAGGGGTGAGCCGCTTTTCTGTGAATGAAACGAGCAACCAACTAAATTTTATAGAGGGATAAAGAAATCTGGCCAGGAGAAGAGACCAGCTTACCCTTGAGTCCAGCGTGGCTTCTGCAGCCACTTCCTCATTTGACACGAGCGGTGAAGATCGGGAAGATGGAGAGTCTGAAGCGGACGAGGTGATTGAATTCCGCAGCAAGTCGATCCTTGACGGTAATACTATGATTCAAATCACGAACTCTAGCAGAGAAGGGGGAGAAAAGGCGATGGGCGTACTGGTACGCTGCTACAAAGTAATTCATTTCATCTTAAATATTGTGGGTGGATTCAGAATGCGCTTATCAACTCTCTGCCTGATGCACTTACTAGCACGGAACGTCCATGTCCCTTTGTTTACAAAACGTCTCGTCCAAAATCTATATGATCTCCTTTTGTTCCCGAGGCCCGATTTCTGCGATAAGACCACTGGACAAATGAGTAGGTGCGGAAGATAATGATCATTTGTACAAAATCAAGCTCGAGTGATTATCGACGTGGGCAAGCGCAGGTATCGTCGGTTTTGAGTCGACTGCGGCATCGTTACGAAGATTTTGACGACAGAAGCCCAGCTGAGCAGGTGACCACGTTCACGAAATGATACACATGTAAATCGGCACTGAATCACTGGCACTGGTCCCACGAAATGCAATACCTGCAACAGCTCCTGGGTATTGCATCATCATCCAACGGGTGTTGTTGTCTACAGACGTTGGCCTCGGTTATTTCAGGTATTTGGAAATTGGCGCCATGATGCTTTTTCAGGACAGACATCGTTGCCGTTTTGACTATTTCTGAAAGGTCATTGCGACACATCGAATTAGCTGTGCCAGAATTCACAATTCGTGCTGCGAGTCATCAGTGAATGAGGGATGCGGTTGAGATAATATTGATCACGGAATGATATAAACAAACTAGAGGCGCTTCAGCTGCACAGCCTTGGACTACTTAGATACAATTGCTTGCAAGGCCCGGCCGGGACCCCGGCGGGTAACCAGGTTTATAAGCCCGATTGATCCAGCCTTGGCGGATATGATGGCTCTAAGTATCTCAGTACTACTTAGTACTAGTAGCTAGCGCTATGCTCACATCTTCTCCCAGAACATTCACCGGATTTGTGCGGCCACCTGTACTATTAAGTGATGCACATTGCTGGTTACTCTTCTGAACTTCCTTCGATTTACATCTCATCCTCCAAAGAAGAATCAGCAACTACATTTGCGCCATGACCCAGGTCGTGTTGACATACAGTTCCGCTATCAGGATTGTGGCTTCGGTGATGACTGGTTTTGGTATATCATCTATGTATGATTGTTATCGAGAGCCATACTGGCGGCAGTCATATACTAACGAAGGTTTATAGAGTTTTCTTGATTTTGACTGCGCAAGTTTGGATCTATTTCCGGAGAAATACAATTCGATCTGGGGAGAACAGGCAGTCTAAAGCTCTCGTATGAATTTTCGTCGCATATCACAGACTCATCGCTGACAGTGCAGAACAGGTTGCCTTCATCTGGTAAACATCTTCAATTGGTCATGCATGCAACAATTAACGGAAAGACTGGCGTTGCGTTACAGGTTAATCCAAGCTGTTCAAATGTGAGTCTCTATGGAAATATTTGTACAAGCCGCTGAAAGTCCTGCTAGGGCAGTTGCTACTTGGATATCGTTCGCTCATGCGTTAAAGTTCAATATGACACTCCGCCATATGTTGATGTTGGTGGCATTTAAGGTTATTCATCAAGGCACTTTCTGACAGAACGACAGAAACTTGGCGCTTTACAACGGAATATGTGCAAGTGGCGCCTTTCTTCCGCCAGTCTCGAACTAATCAAACTCACTGTCGTTCCATAGTCGTTGACCACGTCTGTTGTGCATGGCGTTTTCATATCTAGGGTTTTCAGACGTGCGTGCTGCTGACGTACTACTATGACACTTCTTTCTGATGCGTGCGTAAAGTTGAGAAGAGTTTCTATGGTAAACGGAGAATAACATTCGTCCTGGTAAGCACTGCGTTTGGCTGCCTCGGAAACAGCGACTGATTGCGTCAATCAGATTGCATTTTGTGTCATGGAGCAAGGTGCGATAGTTTATCTTGCAACGGATAATCGCTACTTAATCACGAAAAATAGCTTTTGGTGTTCTTAGTACAATCTACATGTAGGTCCAATTTTATCAGTGTCGCCCTGTTAGGTTTTTCTCAAATAAGGGAAACAGCTCCCGACTAAGCCATTACAACTTGAATGTCGTGGTTAATGTAAGCTTGTTCTACCTTTGATCGGGAAGCAACTCACAAGGATAAAGTGGTCTACCTTGATCTCGCTTGGTTGTTCAGCAATCGATGATGTTCTTATCGCTGGAACTACGGCCTATATTCTCCACAAACACAGGACTGAATCGCCAAGGTGATTAATCAGTTCGAGTATGAAATTAACTGACAGTCTTGGTGTTCAGAACCAACCGAATGATCACGAAACTTATCATATTCTGCTCGCAAACGGGTTTGATTACAACGCAAGTTCCTTTGCATTGACAGTGGATATATACTCACTGCTTCCTGTGTAGTGTGGTGGCATCTATCACTATGGGAATTGTGAGTGCTTATCGCGCACAATAACTATGTCTCTGACCAAGACGCAGTGGGCAGCTTGCCGTTTCGATGTGTATCATCTACATATGTGTTTTCCTATTGGAGGCTGTGAGAGTCTTGTTGTTATCAACTCGAGTACACGGAATGTTCTGACGTCCTGGCGTGACAGTATATGCTACATGTCTTCTCGCCAAGTGAGTTGTTCCTAACGGTGATAGAAGAGACTGCTGATATCTTGCTCAGCTTAATCGCTCGGGATTCCTACCTGCAGCCACAGACAGCCCACGAAGCCGAGATTTCCGAAATCAGTTTTGCACGCTTCACACAGGCGATTCATGTGGGCTTGCCAGACAAGAAATCCGGGCTGCAGGAAATATCGGCAATGCAAGAAGGAACAGATTCCTCAAAAGTGTCCTCCTGTCAAGTCGAGCCACTATAATCCTTTGGACATAATGCCACCGTCTCGGTGTTGTCGCAATTGCCTAGAGTTAAGTACTAAGTTGTTATCGTACGTATGTGTCGAGAAGCTGTTACATCCACTATACTTACATTCACTGGCAGCCGTAATCAGACCATCAGAAAGAATTCATATAATTTATTCTTCACAATGCCTCTGTCCTTCTAGATTCACTACTATGAGACTTATTTTCGTTCGAATGTCGCCGTGCACAAATCCTGTGTTCCTCACTGAAGCTTGAAGATAAGATCATTACTTGGTAGTATTGGTGTAAAGTTGTCCGTGATCACAATTTTCGTAGCCATTATCATGTCACTACTCTCCTGAGGCCAGTACGATCCTCTACCCTCTTTCCTACCGGTCCGACGATGCCGACCCGTGACGCAGCCAATTGAAATATATGTGATTCTTTGGATATATTCTATACCTTCTACATCACGGAACTTGAAAAGGCCATTGTTCACTTATCATTATCTGACCTGAACACCATATGTTGTTGTTGTTACTGTGTGCTACTTCAGACGAAATAACATTCCCGAAAGCGGTTGTTTATTTTTGAAGCTTCTGCCAAACAACACCCTAAAAACGAGTCATGTTCCACAGCACGCGGTTAAACCGGTCAAGCGTTATATGCGTCAGATGGATCAGCGCTCATAGCTATTCTTGCTATCATTTGCGTGTGCTGGCGCGGACTCTCAAATTTCAATGTTGATTGTTTACTTTGCAGCGCCTGCTCACAAATCACGTCGCCCCCAAGGTCAATTGTAACAGGATGAGTATCTTCGATGTCCAGGGTTCTGAGATGGAAACATCTCCCCTTCTGCACGAAACCACGCAAAAAAAGCAAAAGACGCCCCTTCCAAAACTGCAGATCGGCATTTTGATGCTTGTCCAAATGGCAGAACCCATTGCTTGCATGTCAATATACCCGTACATCAACCAGGTATAATATCAGAAGCTTCTTCAGGGGGTTAAATTTGAACGTTAATCGCAGCTGATCCGAGAACTTGATATCACTGGTGGTAACGATGCAGCAGTCGGTTATTACGCTGGAATTATAGTAGGTCTGACATGTTATTTGAGCGAACACAGAGTTATATGACTCCGGTGATACCAGGAATCACTTTTCTTCATCACAGAATCACTGACGGTATTGAAATGGAGCCGTCTTTCTGATCGCATTGGACGCAAACCTGTCATTATGATCGGTTTATTTGGAGTGGGTCTCTCAATGCTCTGCTTCGGTCTCTCGACCTCCTTCTGGACTCTTGTCGTCAGGTCAGTCAATCTAATTTGTGTAGATGGTTGAGTATTTCTATACAATGAGCCAAATAGCCGTTGTATCTGTGGAATGCTCAATGGTAATAGCGGAGTCATGAGAAGTATGATGGGCGAACTCACGGATTCGACCAACATGGCGCAAGGATTTGCTCTTATACCCATCACATGGTGCTTTGGGAGCTTCTTCGGGTCAGTCTTTCTCTGAATACAAACTCGTGCTGAGAGTGTTGCAGCTTCGTTATGGGGGGAACTCTAGCTCGCCCTCAAGACCGTTGGCCAAATCTCTTTGCTGGACAATTCTGGGCAAAATATCCGTATTTCTTGCCCTGTGCTGTTGCTGCATCGATTGTTTCCGTGTCGTTCATGCTCGTATTTCTCCTGGAAGAGGCAAGTCAGACTCGAGATAGACATCCCGGTCACAAATATTAACCCTGTTTCAGACATTAGCAACCAAGCGCAAGCGCAATAGCAATGCCACGGGCGAACAACTTTCGGAAGAATACAGGAGTAATGAATCACCCTCGGAGAATATGGCCAACGTCCCCGTCCCCCTACGTTCGCTGCTCATTCGTAGCATCATAATTCCCCTAGCGAATCAAACATTTCTTTCGTTTCTCGACATCTGTATCTTTGCTCTCATGCCCTTGTTTTATTCCACCCCTCACTACCTCGGCGGACTAGGATTCGCACCCCAAACGATTGGGTTATGGATGGCGCTATTCGGCATCATCGACGGTTTATTCCAGGCGCTGTTCTTCGCCAAAATCGTTGACCGGCTAGGTCCCAAACGCACATTCTACACAGGTATATCGTGTTTTATACCTATCATGGTCACGTTTCCAGTCATGTCATGGCTCGTCTTCTCCGGAGGCGCTGACTACATGGTCTCGATCGCACTGATGTGCCACCTTCTTCTGATAGTAGCGTGGGACATCTCTCTAGGTGAGCCTTCTGTCATTGCGCGTGTCTCTATCGTAGGTCCCATGCTCACTTACAACCAGCGAGTATATTAATGTTCATTACCGCGTCCGCACCCACGAAAAATGTCCTGGGTGCGATCAATGGTATGGGTCAAATGACAGTATCAATCGCACGTGCAATCGGTCCCATGTTCACCGGGTCCATTTTCGCGTTCTCGAAGGATCACAATGTTTTGGGTGGTCACGCGGTATTTGTTGTTCTGTGCATACCTGCGGTTGGGATGTTGTGGTTAGCGTCTTACCTACCTAAGGAATTGCAGAATAGAGATGAGGATGAGTAAAAATTTGTCGCCTTGCGAGTAATTCATACGGTAGAGGAATGAATAAACCAGTATGCTCTTAGTAAACCTCGCATGAAGTCATCCGCGAATGTACATAAATGATACAAGCCCTTGTCATTGATTACTTCTTCTTTCATCTCATTCTACACGAATCTTTTTCGAAAACATGATGTACGTGGTGGTAGTCTGATAGAGGGATATGCAAGTTGCGCGTGAGTGAGGTGGACAGGAAGAGGGAAGGCTGGGCGCCCAAAGATGAGAAACAAGTCCCGAAAACACAAACAGGGTAATACGCAGTTGTACGTGGTATCTGATTCGTATCGTAAGCAAGATGGATAAAAAGAGCGCCCACAGTAATATGGTAGTGTAGTGTAAGAAAGAATAAGTCCGTGCGTAATACGGTGTCTCGGGCGCTTGTACACCGCTGACTTGCCCTCTCTTGCCGGAGAAATGTGGGTGGGGGTAGAAACGTATTATGCTGCGCTGTACAAGAATAGGTTGTTCGTTGCAGCGATCTAATTATAAAGTGTTAGTACACAGACTGGAACACAGATGCAAAGCAGGAAAGATCGGCAGCACAAAAAACTAACGGCGCAAAGCACGAACTATATGCAAAGCGTAACACTCACAGCGATCGTGTTCTCCCGTGGATGCCAGCTAGCATGCAAGATCTTCTTGTTAAAGTCAAGCGTATCTGTTTGCATTGCGTCCCGCAGTCCGCCGGGACGCGGGCCGTTCTTGAGCCCGTTCTTACCTGCGGGTGCACCGATCTTCTTGGCCTTGAAAGCAGACTTGTCCGCTTGCAGCACGACGTCATTTGGCGAGTCTGTGTCAAATATGCGGAAGAAGTTGTGGTACGAGCCCGTTAGCACGTGCCTGGGTTGCAAGTCAATCAGTAATGGTTCGGGAGATAAAAAGGGATCGATCGGAGAACGGTGGAGCAGAAGATAAAGAAAGGCACAGGGGTAAGGGCACGATGAGAGCGAATACGCACTTATCATCTCCACTCCATACACACTCAAACTTATCAAAGATGCAGTCGTTCTCATACAGATCGCAAAGCTTGCCGCGGAGGTGATCATGGATAGGAATGGTCTTCACAGGACGCGACTCCATATTAATGTCCCAGATCTTGAGGGAGAGATAGTCGCGCGACAAGATATACCGCCCGTCATGACTGAACTTAACATCAGATATGGAAGATATGATCTCGGAGAAGAAGGATCGGGATGTGGGGTCCTCTTCTTCTTCGAAGCCTGCACATAATTCGATGTGAGAGGCAAAGGGTTTAGAGATTTAAATGAGGTACGTACATTTTGCATGACGGTCACATAGTGCGGAGTCGCGCATATCTGCGAGCTTGATATTACTTTTTGAGCTCGAGTACATGAAAAGGTTGCATTGCTGAGGGTGGAATTCCGCTGCGGTGATCACTTCTGTGAGTTCTTCCATATTCACAGGTTTGATATCCACGATGTCTATTAGTCATGAGCGTCTTCTCTAGATCAGGGTAGTAGATGAAGGAGACTTACTGAAACTCTGATCACTGATGCCGAGGTTCCAAAGGTTGATGCGTAGATCGTCTGCGGAGATGTAGGTTTCCTGGTCGGAATTGACAGAGATGGAATGGATGTGGTAGGCATGTGCATTGGCGTAGACTTTACGTGGGACTGCGGCGATAATGTTGTCCTGTGGCTGCATGCGGGGGAGCTTGAGATGGGAGACAAGACTTGGGGGTGGAAGGGCACGATGGCCATCGAGGTGGTTTGACTCAGAGACTACACGGATACTCTTCTCAAATATTTTCCAGAGTTTGATTGTCTTGTCTAGTGTGGGATTAGTCAGAAGTGCTGGGAGGGAAAGGGGTGGCAAACCGTTGGTAGAAAGTAGGAAGTGGGCGGTATTTTGTCGTCTACACCACTTGATCTTGTTGATCTTCTCCTCGATTTCAAGAGACTTTAGATAATCGAATTCGGGCTCGTGTGACTGGAACTCTGTGTAAAACTTGTACTCGCAGCCTCTTTTCTAATGATCGCGTGGCGTAATCAGGGTTTTAATATGAGAACAATGGAATGAGAATGATACTCACAGACTCGTTGCGCTCAAAGAGAACGACACGACCACCTTTGTCGCCTGTGGCGAGGTAATTTCCAGTTGCATCGAACTCGACTGTGGATATGATGTCGGCTGCGGTATCCCATCGATGCGGGTCAGTTGAACCAGAGAGTCGATCAGAGTGGGTGCACGGACCTTCTGTGATGTCGTCCACTTCACCCTTGTCACCGAAGCATTGTGCAAAGCGCCAGCTACCAGAGCCTGATGGGTCGATATCCATGATTGTAGCGTGGCTAGAGGGGGTTCGCTGTGATTGTTATAAGAGTAGTTTAGAATTGATTTTTTGATCTAATTCTGATTTGTACCGCAAGATGGAAGACAACTAGATTGATGATTGTACGAGTTTAAAGGTTCAGGGTAGCGAGCTCGTACAATGCCAATGCTAGCCAAGTGGATGAGATGAGCCGTTTTGTTGTGCTCTTGTTTGGCTACACCCACACTACCTGGACCCGGCTTGCACCGTAACGTTCAACATTGAAAACAATCTTTAATCCAACAATGCCTATTGCACCAATCACTGGCAAACTTAGAAAGAGACTGTGGCTCGACCTTTCGGTCGCCCTTGGTCTCGGCGTCTCATCTGCTTATGCTTTTTGGTAAGTAGATTGTATTTCGGCTTCTCAAAGCATGCTCATATGTGAATAGGTATGGCGTACATCTCAAGTCTGGTACGTCTGGGTTGTCGTGGCACCTCATTCGTTAACGCTGACTCGCTGCAGTACAAAGGCAGGAGGAGTTTTACTTCAAGCTGGAGCGGGCAAAAGTGCAGCAGTTGCAGTGATAATTGCGCCTTAGTGTACACCGAACCTCTTCCAAATAATGGACTGTATCCTCCTTAGAAGGAACGCCTTTCTATTGGACTGCCTAGGAGAGACCACCTCGCCTGCGTATGGTTTTAATCTATTGTGCTGGTGCATGATTGGGCGATTCTTTGCGTGTGTCATGCTCGACTTTCTGTCCGACATCGAACGGGGCGGGTCTCCCGTACACTTCAGCTTCAAATTTTGTCTTAGAAAACAGACCTAGGGAGCAACGCACATGTTGGCATTACTTGGAATGGCACGCTCGAAGGAGATTGCTTGTATGAATGAAACATGTACTCAAAGATCTACGAAGTACACAAAATGTCTGGCAAGAATCAAACCATCCTCCTGACAAAAATAACAGGCAGATGGTTTCTTGAACCTGGCCACGATACTACGTATCTCGTTTTTGCCGTGTTGTTTAACGCCTTTGCCACAAGAAATGGATGTGCAGGACGTAGATAATCAACGGCAGTTCATGCAAGATGATCTCGTCGTCAAGCGTCTTCAACAGAAAAATGCTGACTGAAAATCGCATGAAGCCGCGAGCATCATACATGAGTATACCAACAAAAGTTTTGGAGGATAATAAAGCGCTGCCAGTGTTTGCATTTATTTATTCTGCTGATATAATCGCCTATTAATATGATCCAGCGTGTCGTAGTACACAAACTCTTGGTCGCACTCACAGCGCGCGGGATGAGTGCTAGAAACACCCACAAGGGGTTCGGCTCATCACACGCCATCCCTCCTAATCCTACCTTTATTGACTTCCCAAGATCTGACGGTGACCCAAGCAATTGGCCCACAAACACTACCCCCCACATTGACAGTGAGGGCCATGTAAACTTCATGCGACAGGCTTCCCTCGATGAATCGTTATCGATCAAATGGCGTGTCGAAGTCGCTGCAGCCCTTGCCTCAAAGATTAACATGCCTCGTGAGTGCTTCCTTTCATGTACTGGCCACCGATCATTTATCTCATTCTTTCAACAGAAGGCAACTATGTTTTGCAAGGATGGCCTGAGGGCTATCAGATGTTCGATCACAACAAAGGACCAAAGGATAGTCCTCGTCATGATGCCTATCTTATAGGTGAGCTGTGCTTCCCCGTCAACGCAATTAGTTGGTGTTTACCATTAAAATGCTAGGTTCTACCTATGCCAAGCGCTTCCGCTCTGTCCCAGAGTTTATTCCCCACGCCCTATGGCTGCTCACAGACCCCACGCTTGACCGTAGCAACTGCAATTGCAAGTATTGCAATAAAAAACCCCAACGTGAAATAACTGCCTCCATGGGCCTTCTTCCAAAGCGCGGCGGCTCCGCGCCCTCTGCCGCAAACACACCCACGCGGACAGTTCAAACCCCTAAATTGAAACGCCAGCCTCAGCCACCTAAAGACAGGCTTGTTCGGGATCAAGAGAAAAGCTCACGCGACAAAGAAAGATTTAGACCATATGTCGGTGTACGTCGCATGCCAAAACCAGTCAGACCGCCTGCACCAAAGCAAAGCATGCTCAGGGAGCGTAACTCCGATTTGAGCTGTGCCTATGGCCCCGAAGTCAAGGTTCGTCGATGGTTCCGTGACGGCGAACTCCTTTGGTGCGCATTGAACAACCCAATCGAAGGGCCCAGTGGCCCAGGCGGCGACGATTCCATCTTTTTCTGGCCAGGTCTCGTCGAAGAGACAAGAATGAAGCCTACGCCTATTCCAAAGGGCACAGATATGGATATCCTTGATGGTCCATCAAACGGTCATCCGAGCTCGAACGCTGAATCCAATGGTGATGAGGGAGTCCCTTGGATCATCCGGCACGACCTTTCTTACAAAATGAAACTTCTTGGTATCTCCCAATCATTGTATATTTCAGACCAACTTGTTCTTCCGTATCAATCAGTTGCCCCTTCAGATGAGCTTATCCAAGCTATCCATGCAGTATCTTATGAGGACCTCGACCCAGACCCCGCACGCACTTTCGCATTCAACCCTTATTCCACCTCATCAGAAGTTACCTTTGCAAAAGCTGCAGCCCCGTACGGTATTGCGCTGCAGATCGGCGCAAATATTTCTGGGTATTGGACACCCACAGACGACTGGGAGTTCAAATTCAGCCTTGAATACCCCAATTCCGGTCCACCACAATCAATCAACACATTCCAAAGTCTCGATTCAGTGATGAACTCAAGTATGGCACATAATGCTAACCTTGCCTCGTCCATGGCGACGCCCTCTGGCTCAGGCTCTCATACGCCTAGTATCTCTGCACCGCTACCCCCACTGGCACTGGCCCAGACAGTCGTGCAGACACGCTACCAAGGCTTGTGGTGGGGTGCAGAGCGCATCTGGACAGACGAGCTTATTCGGCTCAAATTTTCGCGAGGCCAGATCGCTCCTGAAGGAAATGACCTTATCGATGCACCTGCTGGCCCAAGTAAGAAGGCGCAGGAGTACGCGCGATCTATGGGCGGCCAAGTCGGTGGCGCTGAGGGGCGGGGCGTGTTCATGCGCCTCGAAGGATTATTCGTTGCCGATCCGCCGAGTGGAAGAGGATCCAAAGTCTGCCATGCAGTAGGGACGCTTTATGAACTCGTGGATGAAGACTGGGAGGAAGACTGGGACGGTCGGGAGATGATAGTTGACAAAGGAAAGGGTAAGGCGATCGAAAATGGCAATTCAAACGTGGATGGGTCGTTTCAGTTGGATGCTGTACCATCTGGACTTTCATTTATGAATGGTCCATCCCCACTGAAACCGCCTCCACTCGCAAACCCAGATCCAGCGATTCCCGTGGAAGGCACGACAACAGACGTTCTTTCACACAGCAACGTAGCTGGCGCTTCCACTTCTGCATCTACCGCACCACAATGTGACGCGAACAGCGCGCTCTCGCATCCAGTCCTCAGTTCCTTCCCACTGCCAAAGGCCCCCGACGGATTTAAGTTCCGCCCCATCCTGAAGCCGGGCCATGAGATTGTTGTAGATTTGACGTGGATCGCGGGGCGATATTACCCAGGCCTTCTCGAGCACCGGCTGCTTGACAGGCACGTCGAACGCGCGCTTACTGCTGGTGGGACGCAGTTATGGGCTCTCGAGGGTCTGACGGCTGGGTGTTATAATGCGATGGACCCGACGAAGTGGAAGCCCACTCGCACGGCGATGGTCCGGGAGGCAAGCCATGATGCGCGGGTGGGGCTTGAGGAGCACTGGAAGAACAAGGAGAAGGAACGTCAAGAGGCGAAGCTACTGGAGGGGGCGTTTTTGCTACCGCTGCCGCCATCGGGAATGGATACTGGCGAAGGGGGATCTGGGCTGGGTGAAAGTTCTGGCGCTACTGTGCTGGTATCAAACGGTGACGGGCAGGGTTTTGTGAATGGCGAAGAGGAGAGAATGGAATCAAGAGTAGCGGAGAATGGGATGCCGGAGGAGGTCGCGATGGTGGTTGATTAGTGAGTTGGGGGCTGTCTTCCATATTTGTCCCTTGCATGCCATCTAAGTACCCCACTAATTGCTTCCATGGAATGTACTGTATGTGAATATCTGGATGTTTCTTGAGTACTCTCGAGTCTCGACTCCGCATAGTCACTTATAAGTCTTCGGTAGCTAATTGTAGGTGGTTTACTGTACCGTGACTAGTACGTGCGTCGTGCGCCCGAATGCTAGAGTAGGCCACGCCCTTCCTACGTCTTCATAGTGCTAGTTATTCCAACCACAAATATATCACATCCATTGTTGTCGATCTCACCTATTAGGTTTCATGTGGCACGTGGTCTGGCGGAAGCACCAGGGTCCAGAGGTCCCGGCTCAGTGGCAGGAGTCCCGGCTCGTCATATATACGCAACTTGCTCCCGCTATAGAGAGAGGTTTGGGCTTGGCTTTCCATTGCAGTCCGTGCCCGTTCCAGTGGTGTATCATTTTTGAAGATCTGTTCTGTCTTCTCATTTTACATTCTAGCGCCGCAAACGCCAGTCCGATGAAGACGAATGTAACGCTTCAGCCTTCAAACGTCAGTCTGCCATCCAGGCCCATCCTTGTGGACGATCCCGAACTACCTTATAATTCGTCTCCCATTCTCCGCTCACGTTGTCGAACCTTTTGCTGCCGCTAGCATAACGTCTGCACCTGAGCCGGTCCCAGCGTCCCGCAGGCGAGATAACACCAATGCCAAGCGGCCCGATACCGCATACACCGTGTACGAAGAAGGCGATGCTGCCGCAACCAAATCCAACTCTATCTATTCATGTTCCTGCTTTCTGCGGTCTTCGAACTGTACTGTCACCCCGTCACCCCGTCATCTGTCACTTACTTTATCTTATTGTTGTCTTCTAGTTCCTGTATATTTCTCTGCGCATGCTGGCCTGCCGGTGTTTGTGTGGTTGTCAGGTTCCCCTCAACCCGTCACGTACACACCTCTACCCTTTGGCGCTGTGCGACTACCCTGCACCACCGTGACCTCTTACCATTGTGAAGGATCATTCAATGCTCGAATGTGCTTTTACTTGCCAGTTAACGACCTCTCCTCGTCGATACCTATTTCATTGCTCACCAAGAGCTTTTCTCAGTTTTGCCGCCTATATCGTTATCATTTTTAATTATTTTCCGGACCGCTCCTCCTACGCGTGGTCGATGCTGTAGGACGTTTAGTGTGCAAGCGGCTGGCCTTCTGATTCAAAGATATGTTCGCTGGTGGACACATAAGTATTACGTGTTGAGCCTGACGTAAACCGTCCGATATCTTTCTAATGGAGCCTCCCAGGTCAAGTGTTCGAAAAATTGTCTCACTCTCAATTTGAGCGCTGACGTAAATCTTACACCCTACCAAACACCTCGATGCCATGGCTAGCCTGTCATAATCTTAATTTCAAGGCGACCCTCTCCAATTATATGCATTTGTAGCCAACACCGCGGCGACTGCCAGTGGTTTCAGGGTTCGTGTCCGTTCACTTCGTTTCTCCCCTCCATATTTGTCCATTCGTTGCCAGTGAAAGTCGAGCGCTGGATGGCTTGTGGCTGTCTGGGTACCCTTTTAAAGCGTACTAGCTCTCCTCATCATTAGACGCTGTGACTGTTTCGACCATGCCTTTGTCCCCCCAGTTCATGGAAGAGGTATGGGTGCGGAGGTATGTCTATATATTGTACACATCGTCATTCTCACCTAATATTGTCTAGGTCGTTCTCCGCAGCTGGCCATACACTACTAGTCTACGACTATCTCCTAACTTTCAGAGAAGAAGTGAGTTCATATGATATGCATGATATCAATGTTCACAATATACCCTTGATTGCAGTTCGTCTACGTCTGGAAGGCCCCCTGGACGGTTATCAAAATCATGTTTCTTCTCAACAGGTATGGAAACCTTATTGGACAGACTACCATCCGGCTGGAAGAGGCTGGTCTCCTTGCACATAATTCTCAAAAGGTATGTTGTAGTTTCGTGAGTAGACATGACATTTATCGAGTGGCTAATTTCGTGCCAGTTCTGTCAAGGGTTTTCAATTTTCACCACTTGCTTCATGCGTGTGTCTATCGAATCGATCCACAGTGCGTCCATCTACTCGATGATCATTGCATGTCCTGAGGCCTGAGGGTTTTGGTTTTCCTCAGTCCTCGTGCTCCTGCGTGCATGGGCTATCTGGGGAACTCGAAGGCGTGTAACGAACATCTTCACCTGGAGTTACGTGGGCTACATCGTTGTGCTGGTGGCTAGCTCAGCATATGGTTTATACGCCGGTAATAGTAGGTCACTTTGCACCGTTTTTATTTTCATTTGTAAAAATGGTTTCGCTTCGGTAGTTCATTTTCAGTTCCTCGACGTGGTTCAGGTCTGCGTGGCGACAGGGCCTAGTAGGTGATTGTCATTTGGCTCCTGCAGCATATTGATAGTTTGCTACTTCAAAGCATATGTGGTTGGTCGCTTTTACATCGTGTTTGGTATATTGACGGACGTCTCGTCGGCCTCGATGATATTGTAACGTTAGTGGATAATCTACTTTGGAAGGTTAAGATGTTCTATTCTGTGTGCTTGCGCTTGCTGAAAACCATCAATCAAGCTTTATTCTCGATATAATAGTCTTCGTCCTAACGATGCGAAGTCTCCGGATATATTCTAGAGAATTTCAGCAACTCTACCCGTCTAGTCTCCTCCATATACTCGTTCGAGACGGTGAGCGTGCTTTGTGGAGTAATTCGCAATTGACTACAATTGTATAGCGACCTTATTTTTCATCGTGAGCGTAAAAAAGCTTCATGATGTATCTCGTTGCTGACAACACGAATAGGTTAGTATGTTCAGTAATGCATTGTGCGTTATCTCTTGGTGAGACTTGCTCATACTCTTGACTCGTTCTATCGCCTTATTATGTCCAGGACTGCATTCAGGACCGTCAGTATTCTTTATCCTTAGCGGACCGTCGTTCTTTCTGACTGATTTACAGAAACCAACATATTTCCTTGCTAAAGGGTACGTTAGCCGTAATGCAACCCCATCGCATTCGGTCAAGATATTGATATTGCATGTAGGTTCGCAACTCCGTTACTTTCGGTAGCTGGCCAGCGCCTAGTCCTGAACCTTCGGAGTCTTCAAACGCGTTCCTACGAAACTCGCGATCTCAGCCGTGAAGTGGACCGGCAACTACAAGCATTTGCTGAAGGGGGCTCTCCAGGCCTGGATGATGTAGAAGAGTTGGAAGGTATGCAGGAGTAGGTAAGTATCGGAAATATGGTTTCAAGGTTTATCTTGGTTGACTTGGTAACCATATGTTGTAGGGTGGTTGTTCTGTACCAAAATCGACTGAACATGGACGACCCTTTGTGCTCACTTTTGTTCCTAGAATTTCTTTTACGTTTCCTATGCCCCTTTTAAATATCCAGTATCAGGTGTATCCTTCGGTCGGAGTGACTATCTCCGACTGACTGCATGTATTAGTGATAGACTAACTTTTAGCTAACCTGCCTCATAATTCTTCTGTAGTTCTTCTATCTTTTGTATAGTGGTGATTCGATGGTCGCGGACCAGTCTACCATGCCACGAGAAAATATTGACAGTATACACGAGATCGCCGGTATTCCTTCGTTACCTGCCCAGAAACGTGCATGATATTCAAAAAATTCTTATGAACTCGGGCCGCCACGACCCTCATGGTGCTCAGGATGATATCATGACCCCATCGTCATCCTTCCCATTGGGAATTCTCGCGACCCTCTGCACCCACGCGGCCACCGTTAGGTTAACACGGGCGTCAGTGACTCACAAGGTCCTGAATCAGCGCGAAGTGATTCTAGATTTACTTGATCACTTTAGTCATGGTGACTGCAGCTGCAATGAAACGCACTGCCAAATTTAATGCTCAAAGTATAGTATGTAGGACGTACTCAGTGAAGTAACCAAGCAATTACTTTAAAGTTGAGTGTTGTAGATAAAAATCACGAGATGGAGATCTGTTACGAATGGACCGCAGCAGTGACGTGTGCCTTGCAAAGTGCTAACCTTTGCAGTGAAGTACCCACGGAGTTTACTTCTCGTCAGCACTTACTACGTACCTGGGCCATCGCACGTTCAAGGATGTACATAATATGAAACGTTTGAACCACCATTCTTTGTTCTCATTCAACAAACCCAAGCTCAAGGTTGAATCGGTATAACCACAGACCTTCGATCTAGATCTGGAAACATATCCAGGATCAAGATATTATAGAGTAAGTATTCAGTCACCGATCCGATGTCAACAGCTTACTTTTATGTAAATCTGCGACAGCCTGAGTACTTGCAGGTACTTGCGTTCTCCGTCGGGAGTCAAACCGTATGTATACCGTCGGCTCGTTATCAAGAATGCCGCTCTTGAGTAAATTATGTTTCTCTAGCCATATGAATCCGGCTGTCGATGCAATTGATGTCAGTCAAACGTCTCGGATAGAGGCACAACCAACAATATGCTGAGAGAAAATGTAATACATCATTTGCATGCTGAACAATACCTGAGAGCAGGAAGACTCGGAAGTCTCGGAGCAATTTGAATGCTGCAAATACGGGCCACGTGACCGAAATGCCAACCTCAGATCAGTAAACTACAATGTCTCTGTACAGAGCCGCAGTGTCACAGGGCCACAGTTTGGTCCAAAGCCTTTCCGAGTCCGACTGACTTAGTGCGATATCGATGTGCATGTGTCCCCCTGACTTGATGATCTTGATTTTTCTCCATTTTCCCATTTTACCCGAGGGGCTTTGCAACGTCCACTGTCCTTCAAGGTACTGTACTGTCGGTCGACGCTGCTAGCAATTACTGCGCAGTGCGCAAGAGCCTGGCCGTTCTAAACTTCTAATATTAATATTCTATACATGAGAGTACTTATACACCCTATGTTGGACACTACATCAGGTCTAGTCCATACATATACATGTATTCAGCTTGCCAACTAGGTGAAATCGTATAAGATGTATGTACATCGCATATGATTGTGAACTGTGATGGATATGGGGTAGAGTACACGATGAGAGGGACAGAGGGCGTTCCAAAAACCCCTACCAGGGTCCAGGCCCATAAGCCACCCACCATTGCGGTGGATGCCCGATCAACTTGGTCAAGGTGTTGAGCTGTTTCTGCGTAGGACGCATTTCAAAATCTCCTCTATCCGAGCACACATAAAACACCTGAACGGTGTCAATTTGAATGGCATCCAGTACTTCGTCGGGTGCATCGTCGTATTTACCGCGGAACACACCGATCCACTCTGGAGGGATGACACCTCCCGGCGGGGGGTTCAAACAATTTCTGTAGTCCAAGTAATAGATGCCCGACAAAGATGCAAGGAGTTCATAGGCTCGTGTCGTGGCAATGTCTTCATAGTCTGTGTGATCGCGATCTGGCAAATCCTCTGTGCAGTGTTGTTCCGCGAACCGGACGAGCCATTCAGAAGAGACTGCATATCCGTAGCACTGAATGTTGTGCGCCAGGGGTGGTCGGGCAATTTTGAAGGGTCGTCGTTTCTTGGGACGTCCAGTCTGCTGCGGAGTCGCAGTCTTTAAGAAATGTTAGAGAGAACACGGAATCTAAGCATATATATCCACCTTTAAAGCTTCAGACAGTTTCGAAAAAAGAGAAGGCATGTTCGTGATAGAGAGGCGAAAATAAGTAGCACACACTCTTTGACTGACTTGAAGGCGTGACTCCTAGCAAGGTGTCGGACAGAGACTGACTCAGAAGTCTTCGTTTTATAAGTATGTTGGCACCGCGTATCCACAAATCAATCGTGGACAATCCACTGATGATTAACAATAAGCGCGGCAGTGTGCGCTAATTTACCTTCCAATCCGAGAACAAAGCTAGTTATTCCCGAATTTGCGCAAATCCTGTCACAGTGTGCAGACTTCAAGCAATGATTCCCGCATTCTCAACAGTCGGAAGATCGTTCTGTTGGTAAAGAACAAGGCTAGAACGAATAAGAAAAGGAGAAAAGGCACGTAGCTCTCTGCTTTTTTGTGCGACTCCCGTATTTGCGTGATCGGTACCTTTGCCTCGTATAGGCTCGGTAGAGATATACCGAAATCGTGGATGCTCGCATAAAGCAATGCATGGAGGCGGAGATTGGCCACGTGGTATGTGGTCAAAGCAAGCCATTATCAAAATCGTTATTCATATATAACCACTCACTTTGGATCTTGTAGCTACTTGTCACATGCACGACGTAGAACGTAGACTCGTAACAAGTTACTACGGAGAACTTCCCTTTCTCGTAATAAACAAAATATCTGTAAACAAACGGCTTGCAGAAGGTAATTCGTTATTACCGTACCCAATCGCCAGTCAACGTCGAGAAAATACTCATATCATTGTAGCACTGTCATGACGCGTAGCGAGCGCTTCAGCATTGAAGTACGGTGACTACGGGTCCGATCATCAACTTCCTTTCAACCATCAATGTTTCAACACCTCAACGTTCAACTTGAACGTCCCGCAACCGTATCAAAATCCCTCCGGAGTGGAGACCGAGTCCGGTTCACATGCTCTTTGTACTATGCACACACGATATATCGAAACCACATGGCACAGTTGATCAGACATGGGCTATAGGAATTTCTAAAATAGCGATGGATTGTCGGAACGAGCTGCGGCATTAGAATCATGTACTGGTCACCCCCCACGAACTAGGTGAAGGAATTCAATTGCTCCAAGGTTGCACAAATCGGGTAAGTGCACTGTGTCGCAGTACCTCTCATGTGCCCTCACTACTTTGTTAATTGAATGCTAAGGACACGATTTGAATTGTCTTGAAGACCCCAAGTGCAAGTACTTAAGTGAAGCTTTGAAGCGCAAAAGCAAAGTAGGCTCTTGACTTACCATGTGCCCATACTTGTCGATGTGCCAATATTTTACAAGCATGTCATATGCCTCTCGATTATGCATGAAAACATGAAAGCAAATGAACATTCACGACGCAATGCACGAGTGATATGAAAAAATATACCATGTTATCTCACTCCAACTTCACAACAACAGCCCAATCATCCACCACGCGCACTGCAGGATCTTTGATGACTAACACCCCCGCCCCATCCTTCGACGCAAATTCCCACTCAAGTTCACTTCCGCCCTCCAAACCAACGCTCAAAGGCTTCTTTTCAAGTCCAAGGACAACCAGCTTTTCCACTCTCACATCCCCCACACTGCGCGCGAACTCGTTCTTGGGATCGTACGCACCCACTTGCGTTCTTACGGCAAGATCAACGGACGAGATGCGTACCGCCCCAATCCCTTTCCCCTTTCTTTTCGTGCTCTCCGCGCCGAACCCACGCCAAACAACATCCCCCTTGCCGTAACCATACGTCTCGCCATCATCAAGATACACCTCCCCGCGCGCATTCCCCGAAGTATCAAGCGCGATGCGGAGTGTGAACGGGTCGTGTTTCATCAGTGGCGAGGAACGGCGCGGACGTTCGCGGGTGGGGATGATAGAGCCTCCGCGGATGAGGAGGGGGATTTGGTCGAGGTTTGCGGGGAGGGTTATCTGTCGGTTTTTGGGGCGGTGGGGTTGGTTGGTGAAGTAGTCGTAGTAGACCTAGGCAATTGGGTGTGCGTAAGTGTCAGGGTGTGTGGAGAAATGAAAACAAGAGGAAAAGAACGAACCTGATCCTCAGCAATATACACAGAAACCTCCTTCACCCCCTTCTCCGTCACAGGTTTAACAAGTAACCCCGACGACCCAACATAAAACTGATCATCAATTCCAAACCCAGCATCGTCCTCGGGGAACATAACATATTGAGGCCTGCGCGTTCACGCACACATCGATCACATCGTCCAATAGAGGAAGAAAAAACGCACCGGAGAATGGGAACCCCACTCTCACTCGTCTCCCTAAACGCAGTATACCACACAGGAAGCATCGAATACCTCAACCTCAAAATATCCCTCACTAAACTCTTGTAGGGCTCCTCAAGAAGGTACGGTTCTCGGCGTTTCGTGTCGATATGCGCATGTGCGCGGAAGAAGGGCGAGAATGCGCCTACTACGTACCATCGCACTAACATTTCTGGTTCGGGGTTTCCGAAGAAGCCGCCAACATCAGCTGTGAGCAAGTGGATAATCAGAAATGAAGGTGAGAGAGAAGAAAGGAAGAAAGACTTACATCCAGCAAAAGGCATCCCCCCAACTCCATTCGCAAGTACCATCTTAATCCCAACAGCCATATGCTCCCACGTACCAAGATTATCGCCGGTCCACATCGCACCGAAACGCTGAGAACCGGCGTAGAAGGCGCGGGTGAGGACGAATGGGCGTCGTGGGGGGTCTGTGCGGGCTTCTGCCGCTTGGAATGTATGATTCGCCTGCAGGGAATTAGTATTGTAAGTTTGACTGACAGTCTCAGAAAGAAGATGAGGGACGTACAAAGAGCATTCCGTTGATGTTGTGCACGTCTCTGTGCTCCCAACCACCGTAATGGATGTTATCTTTTGGCATCGTGATTTCCGGTCCGTTAAACACCGACGGCTAGCAGTTCGTGTTCGCCGATAAATAAGCAAGCCACTCCAACATCGAAGAAAACGTACCTCGTTCATATCGTTCCAAATACCGACATTGTTGGTGCTCTCTGTCCAACTCCACTGACTATCGATAGTATCCGTCTTGAACAGTGAGATCCAAAAGTCCCAAGAACCAGGATGGAAAAAGTCGATCCATGAGCTGGAGCCGGGCCAACACCATCCTTCATATTCGCCCTCGCCGCTCTTGGGTTTAACGAGGACTTCTAGTTCAGATGCTCGTTTGTATACCGGGTAGTCGTTTGAGCGTTTTAAGTGGGGGTCGACGATGATTACCATCTAGCGCGTATATGCGTGAGCGCAAGATTCATTACAAAAGATGAATCAATGAATGAGCGAAACAAAACAGACCTTCCGCTCGACAGCCTCCACATCCTTCGTCATCTCCACCGGATCCGGGAACGTCTTCTTATTCCACATAAAGTACTTGTGATCCTCCGCATACTCGATATCCAACCAAAAGACATCCACCGGAAAATCATCCTCATCGAACCTATCCTGTACACCGCGCACGTCGTCTGAACTGACATAGTTCCAGCGGCACTGGTGATATCCGAGTGACCAGTGGGCTGGGAGGGGCGCTGTTCCTGTCAGATGTGCGTATTGGGTGAAGACGTCGGCGGGTGTTGGGCCTGGGAGTAGGAATACGTCCAGGATCCCAGATTCGGATATCCAGTGCGTTTCTACACCGCCTTTTTCCACATGAGTGATATCAATCCATGTTTCTGACGCAATGGCATTGAAAACGGCCACCGTCGACGTTGCAGAATGCGCGTGCATGAGCGGGATCGAGCCGTAGAGAGAAGTCGGCGAGTCGGCGAGGTATTCGAAGACATCTGCATTGTAGAGACGGAAGGGGTCAGTGTATCTTGCGGTGGGGCCTGTTGTGCTTGGGAGGGAAAGGTTCGTAGCGTGTTGGGGGATTCCGTATACGTGGGCGTGGTTGGGGAAAGTTATGTCGAGGGAAAGTGATTCAGGGCCTGTGGACGTTGGGTGCTGTAGTCTCAGTGTTGATGGTGAGTGTGGGACGTACCTTTGGGTTTTGTGTCTGTCCACGTGGAGAAGGTTTCGTCCCAGAAGGCGTCTTGGGTGTCGCCTTCGAACCATGCTGCAGAGTTGACTTGGAGGACAGATTGTCCCTCGCCTTCGATATGTTCAGCTAATTTAGAGTCCTCCTTTGTCCTGAAATGCTCCATGTGCAGTAAACCGCGCCCGTTCAATACGACCTGTTCCACACCACCCCGGAAAAGCGTGATTTTGAGAGGGTTAAAGTCGACAACGAGCTCCATATCCTTCTTTGATCCATAAACAGCCTTGGCTTTTTTACTGTCGACGGTCCAGAGGACATCATCACTCAACAAAGGTTCCCCAATGAGCGCCCACTGAGTAGCTTCGTTATATCGTTTCCTCAGTCCGTTCTCTTCGTCCATTCGCACGCGCACAATGCCCTCCTCGTGTATAATAACATCAAGCACGAATTTGACATTGGGATAGACAGACGAATGTACATTTGTGGTGAAGCCTGGTTGATGAGGGCTAAGTTCTGGGGGTTCAATTGAGTACGGAGAATGCCATGATGATAATTCTTGGGAGCGTTCTGCGAGGGCACGTCCTCTGCGACAGAAACCGGACTGGGAGCATGTCTTGAAGTCGGATGGTTTAAATGCGAGGACTGTTGGGAGGAGGAGGAGTAGGAATGTCCCTGGGGACCACATTGTCTCGGTCGAAGTTGAACTATAGTAGGTGTAGCGCAGTTAAATCCTGGGAGCGCTTGAAGCAAGTACGGCAACGTGACGGTCCGATCATCAACTTCCTTTCAACCATCAACTTGAATATCCTGCAACCGTACCAGATGAAACTTGTCCGTCTACCAAAGCATCCACTCCCGATTGACTTAACCAGTTTCCGAGGCAACAATGGGGCGAGTTGTGAGTTGGGCAGGTTAGGGTATTTGAAATCAGTCTCTGATGTACCAATCCCATTACATAGATGAGTTGGGCCTATCACTCTCTGTGTAAATATCTGGTTTCCACTGTTTTTTATTCTAAGTAGGAGACCATGCAACGAGTTGACGAGACCGCAGTGCTCCCTGCCCACCGTTTAGAGTCCATCCGAAAAAGCAGTCTCATGGATATGCAGTTTCTTCTGAATGGTTTACCTAGTTCGCAGGGCAGCATTGCCTGAAATGTTGTCCGAGAAGCTACAAGTTTAATGCCGAGATACGAGCACACGAAGTTCGAGCACGTCGCAGTTCGGACGGACCTTAGACAAGCTGCGGCGTTAAAATTATGTACTACACACACTCATCCCAATTAGATGTCCGAGGCCGCAGGTGAAGGAATTCAATTGCTTCAAGGTTGCGCAAATCAGGCAAGTGCGTCGTAGTACCTCTCACTACTGATATGGCCCGAGGCGCAGTGCGGTCTTTCTGTGGCGCTAGGCCTAGGGAATGGACTTCACTGACCATGAATGGAATAATTTGGATGCATACCTCGTCAACAGACACGCAGTCCGCAGCATGATGATCTCGCAAAACGGAAAGATCCTTGAATATTTGTGGGAAGTCCAATTCGGAGGATCAAGGGCAGAGCTGAGCGCTCATTTGTTGATGGCTTTGCCGTCTCAGTTCCTTCATAACGTTCGATGGCGTCGACTTGATCACTGCCACAATTGAAAAGTGGCAAACGGTATTGAGCAAAGGGAAAGGAACAACTTCTCTGCGGCTGGCCCAGGCGTGGGTCGAAGTATCATATTCCTGGATGACAAGTGGAAACATAATCAATTGTCGACGACGATTGCAACGACGATGGCTTACCCCTATTGTTCAGCGCAGCTTAGCCTGGACAACTCATGATGCACGAGCCACGCCAGCAATGTCGCTGTGGGGGACAGTACAATATTAATACTGATTGAATATGATGATTTGGGTCAAAAGGTTGCTATATAGGCTATTTCGTTATTATTGATAACTACAAATATCAAGCTTATAAGGATTAATCGTTTACAAATATCGCTCTTCGACAGACTACTACTCGGATCATCATTACGGTACTGGCTGCACACCATTCACGAAACTTCAAGAGGCTAATAACGGCAGAGACAAGCATCAGTGACCGTGTAGTTGAACTTTGTCCTTGAATTATTCGCTAGCCTTAGCTACGTCCGGCGTGGTCCTCCAACCGCCGTGGCCCATCAACTAACAGCCAGTCGCTGCAGTTCACATCAACAGTTCATATAATAGCTGTCCCTGTCGATGATGGTTACCCTTCTTTCTCCAGCCTTGTCCATGTCTACCTCCGACTCTACCCCGTTCTCTCAGTACCGTTCTCTCCGTCCGTCTCCAACACCATCCTCAAGTTCTTCATCATCCGGTGGCTCCTTGAATCATGCAGATGAAGGCGCGTCATTCCGTTCTCCAGTCCGTTGCCTCGAGGCAGGTGTTTACGGCAGAACAGAAAATCTCACCATCACCGCGTCGCGTTCATTGCTTGCGAGAAACAATGGGAAGCGAAAGAGCCATGAGTGAGTTCTCTTCCAATTGACCTCAATCTGGCTCGTGACCTAACGCGCACATTGCAGAGACATTCGTCTCCTCGCCATCTCCACACACATCACCGAACTCTCGTATAGTATATCGGACATCCAGACGCGTATATTTGGTACGCGACTTCTTAGCCCCATCCATTTCTTACTCACACAACCCTCAGAAATACAGGAACTACGGCATAAATCTCAGTCCTCAGGTGATGCGGCCGCCACGACCATCGTCATCGACAAAGCTCTTATGACTCTTGACGAACGCCTTGAGGCTGTCGCCCATGGCATGAAATCCGTGTCTGAATCTGTCACCCCCTTTCAGAACCAGTCCAATGGTACCACCCCTGACTCCGAACAAGTTGTACTGGTCCGCAAGCATGTAGTCCTCGTCACCGAGTGGGAGGCCGTACAGAGTGACACAGATGTTCTCAGGGAGGAGTTGAAAGAGGATAAATGGCTTACTGTGTTCAGAACCGTCACAGAACAGGCAGACGGAATGATGGGAAGCTTAGAGAAGGCAGTCAATCGTTGTCAGGTGTGTTCTTTTATTCTTGATATCTGTATCATCTTCGCAAACACAGCGCAGGATTTTATTTGGCAGGTACACAGGGGAAGTGCAGAAGATTCACTCTCGCAGTCCTCATACAGGGGCTCAGTTAGTTCAGACAAGAATCCATTGAGCATCGAAGTATTCAACGAGTTGCTCAGCTCGTTTGAAGCAAAGAAAAAGTGGATTTCTCCTTTTGCATTTTACATCTCACTCACACTCCTTCTAGGCATTACGTCCCAGCCACGTCCAAGGTACTTGCAATCATTGACAATGGCGTGCAGAACCGTGTCACGAAGAACGGGGAGACACTCCGACGTCACGGGGAATCTGCTAAGAGGTGGCGGATCCTCAAGGAGCGAATGGCCAAGACAGAAAAAGAGATGGAAGCCGTGCGAAAGATCCTCACGGGTGGTGATGTGGTGCCAAGCGAATCAGGTTCCATAACATCGGGATATACAGCAAACGGGCTCCTTGCAACGCCCGCGAATCGCTCTTCGAAAGGTCGTGCACCGAGTCGAGCAACGAGTTCTACGAGCACTCTTTCGCGGAGCATATCGCCACTGAGGAAGTTTGCAAGGAAGATTGCTGGTCATGTGCGGTCGCCTCCGGTCCCCGTCACTCCCTTGCCCGTATCACGAGAATTGTCTTCGGTGTCAAGAGACTCTTCACAATCACAGGGTCCGTCATCGGAGCCAGCTAAGGCTCTTCGACGACAACGCACCTCTATATTCGCATTCAATCGGTCTACCAGTGGTGCCCCACTTACACCAGAGAAGGAACACAAGTATAGCCGCAGCCTCACGCCCGAATCTTCCCCCGCCCCCAAACGCCTTGACCGTATTGACGACCCGAATTCAACCGTGAAACTGAAAACGTCTAAACAACCATGGAACAGCTCAACAAAAGTACAAGCGCCGGATCCTGCAGCGACCATCAAGCCCACTCCTCCAAAGCGGCCAAACGCAAAGTCTGTCCTCATCCCAGAATGTGCCCCTCTTGTGCCGAGCACGCCTTCACGAAGGAGCCTCAGCCGTAGTTCAAATGCGTCTTCGCGGCCTTGGTCTCCCGTAACCTCATCTGCATCCACAAACCCTTCTATTCCACCTCTACATCCACCATCACGAGCTCAAACGCCCAGCCTTGGGGCGACACCACGCCCACGGCCCAAGACCCCAAGTCAAATTCCCGCCCCCGCGGTACACTGGCGCCCCGTGTCTGTGCGGCAGTCTGATACTGATGACGACGAAGAGCTTACGACTCTAATGCAGCGCGCATTCTCGCCTCCGCATGCCAATACATCTCCCAGCACGTTCTGTTCGTATACCTCGAGCGGCATACGCATACCCCCACCACGCCCTCCAAGCCGATCACAAATACCCCTTCCCAGTGTGCACGTCTCCTCTGAATCGCGTCCCTCGTCAACGATGTCCTTCTACCGTCCCCAAAGCCCCCTTACTCCAGGGTCTCTCCTCAGGGCACAGACGCCCGAATCACAATTGAAAGCAAAAGCTCAACAGGTCCCGTTTTACGGGGGCGCAGGAAACAGCGGGATGCGTACATCTGCGCGGCAGACTGTCGCAGCGAAGCTCCCTCCTTCATCGTTTCGTGATTCGTCGACGACCCGGACGCCCAACTCGCGTCCCGGGTCGCGGTCAGGATCGTACACACCCATGGAGCGCGACCCAATACACTTGTACGTCCCTGCGAGTGACAAGGACCCACTCGACGTGGAGGTGGCGGCGATTGTGAATGCGATTCCGCACGGGCTGCTGATTGAGCGTGTAGATCCCCCGCTCAAGGCGCCGCCCAAGGAGGGAGAGGAGATTAGGGCGTCGTATGCGTTTTCGAATAGTTTGAGTAGGAAAGTGGTGACTTGTAAGCTGACCACGCTGACGCGCTCCGGGGCAAGGGGTGGCGGGATGTCGAAGAAGGTTATGTGTCGGGTTGGAGGAGGCGAGTACCTGGTCTGTTCTTCTATCAGTGTAAGGTGTTAACATGTATTTTTGTAGGCTGGCAAGATTTGCAGTTCTACATGCTCAACCGTCAGTCAGGCATGTAGATTTGAACAAGGAACGGATACCCATGCATCAGACCTGAATTATTTTTTTCACTTTGCACTTTTTCATATTTCATCAATCACGATTCAGAACCGTCGCACATAGAGAATCGCTATTCGCGGAATAAGTTCACTGTATTGCATCATGATTATATCCTCATATTCATTACGTCCGCTTACGTTTCGTGCAGTTTTCTAATTCTTGTTATCCTGGCCAGGGTTTAGTTGCAGCTTGCTATTGAATTGCTATTTAGCTTACGAGTGGTGATGATGTTTGGTTGGACGCGTACATGTCGACTGATCGATACTGATCCATCGAATATTAAATGTTACAACGCATATACTCGGTCTCGTGCATGAGAAACTTCCAGCGCTCATCTAGCCCATACTCGCATATCAACCCATTCTAATACCCCGGCCAACTCTTCACCTTCGAGAACCAAAACGACCGTTCGTTCCTCAGCGGCAGCGGCACCGCTTCCCCATCCTCCACATTGACTGAGTCATACCCAATAAAATCGAGCTTGTTCCACCGCCCGAGGGGACGCGAACGCAACGCGAGCGTCATCTGGAAGAAATACCTGTTCGGCTGCGGCTCTGTAGTGGCGTGCGCATGCGAAAGGTGCTTCTCGACAAGGTTTGTGATGTAAACAGTGCTACCGGACAGAGACCAGTTACCAATGTAGAAACCCTGGGATAGATGTGGTTGAGTTTGGGATTGGGATGATATGGGCGTGTGCATACCTTCATGCGCAGGCTCGGCTTGAGCATTGGAATTACGGTCTGGGGTTGCCATTCCTCATTAGCGAGGAGGGATAACACCTGTCCGTTGGGGAAGAATCGGCTGGGATAATGTCAACGTAGGTAAGAGATGGCTCGGGCACGAGACTTACAGGTACCGATGATATGTGATGAGGTGAGTTACCTACAAGGGAGTGATAAACTCAGTACATCGAAAATTGTCAAAGAGTTTTCTACATACATTTACCCAGGCGTTCTCGCTAGAGCCCATCCGCCTACGGGTGTTGTAAGAAAGTGGAGACAATCCATCTCTGACAGCATGACTTACATGTAATGGCAAACAGCAATGTAAACTCCATCCATCCGCAAGCGAGGATGTTCAATATAAGCTCTCCGGTAGTCCGAATTGTACAGTTCCATGATATTCGTTATAGACTCATTATCAGCAATTTGGGGAGGCTTATATGCCAAATGGACAAAATCTCTGTTGCAAATATTTATAACGCAAAGTACATGCAAGAGACAAGCACTATACCTCCAAATCGCAGAATCCAAACTAAGCATTCGTGCCTTACGACTGACAGCCGCAAACCGCTCAATCGTGGTGTAATCAAGAATTCGGAGGATTTGGAGCACAAGCTCGTCAGGGATGAGATTAATGGGTAGTCCCTCCTTCTCATTCTCCGGTTGAAAGACAAGATTCTCAGGAAAGTTCTTGAGCACTTGTGCCAGAAACCCTGACGTCACAATGGATTTATCCTTGCTATCCTTGTGCACTTCGAGCTTCTGCACATCCCGTGTAACTTCATCTACAGAGACAGTGGATGGAGCCTTCTTGTGACTAGGTGGCTGAGCAGCAGAACGCTCATGTGTGCGTTGTTCTTCTATGAAGTACGCACGGTCGACGTTCGCATCGAGACGAAATGCCTGACGATAGAGCCGAAGAGCCTCATCTAGCTGGCTGTGCTGCTCATGAAAAACTGCTTTGCGGTAGACCTCGATGGCATGAGCCAGATTGGGACTGAGATGAGAGTGGCCGTGAGATGCGTGCGTTGTGACGGCAGGCGCACCTGCGACGACATGGGTGGCAGGCCCCCGACTCGAGTGTGTGTTAGTGATAGTAGCGGTTTTCGCGCTGGCATCACTCCGAGCTGCGGGAATGGTGCGTTCTGCAGCAGTGCTGGCACCGGGAACGGGTTGAGCTTGCACACCCGACGTAGCAGTCTGCCGTTCCCTGACCTCTGCCTTCCATTGTTCTCTAAAACGTGCGAGTTCTACGGGCTCCTGCTCTGGTGCCAGTATATCTGATCGCCCTGCGCTCATTCCACACCTGAAAGCTGATATTCAGCTAGTTGGACAAGAGTCAGAATATAATTTGGAAGCGCTTGTGAGTTCTTACTTTTACTAATACTACTAATTGTGACCGCCGGTACCGAAACTTCGGAAGCAAAGGGCCGCCAACTTTTCCTTACTCGCTGACCAGGTAGTCAACTAGTCATCACTAGTTTTGGCGGTGGAAATCCAGCCATGGTGACATTGCGAGTATAGAGCAAGCGAAGACCACATTGTTGGCATAAATAAAGCATAGGGCGACCGCGTTGGCGCGGAATACGATGGAGAATCGAACAGGGTAATACTAATTAAGCCAGCAGTGTGCATAAGTCCAAGGGTAATTCAAGGTGTCAAAGTAACCTTCACGACTTTAAGACACCCAGACGTTTCAGCTCTTCACAGCTATCTATTTTCTCCGCCTCTATTGCTTTTACCTTCTCCCAGTCCGTGCCAACACCGAATAAACCAACTTCTGCGTCTCTCCTCCGTTGCCGCCCATCAACTCCACGCTGGCAATCGTTGTAGAGAGTATTGGTGTAAACTTGTTCCACTTGCCCTTCAAATCTTGACAGAGCAGATCCGCGTCGATGGGTGCCCCCAGCAATGTCAGCTGCAATCTGCCGATGATTCTTGAACTCATGCTCGTTAACATGGTATTTGATGCCCAGTCCATTCGTTTGCCGTTCAGTATTGAACCGTGTTGATGGTGAAAAGGAATACCGCGGGTCGGGTATCGACGTAGAGAACATATCCGGAATTGCACTCAGGAATGAGAATGCGATAAGCAATATGAGGGGCAGGAGCTGCATAAGCAGCGAACGACCCTGTGCCCCTTCACCCTGCTGTTGTGCTTGCGCACCCCCCGTATTCGTACGCATACGTGTCGTACGGAAGCCCCCTGGACCAAATGATGCAGTGAATACTGGGCCGCCGCCGAAAGGACTGCCTCCAAATCCACGGTTCATCGCCATACCGCCTCCTCCGAAGAACATGTTGAAAAGATCTTCTGGACTCATCTCGCCCTCGCCACCAAATGGGCTTGTGGAGAAGCCGGGTCCGCGGGAGGACATGCCACCAGAACGCGATTCTGGATCCGACCCGGATTGGTCGTAAATTGCTCGCTTCTGGGAGTCTGAGTGAACGTCAGAACTGTCTAGCGCATTGAATAAGTTAAGCATACCTGAAAGCACTTGGAAGGCTTTGGATACCACTGCAGTGAGTTCACATGAGACACTTCGCGTACGTGATGACAATACTAGACGTACTCTTGAATGCTTCATCTGCTCCAGGAGCACCGTTCTTGTCAGGATGTAGCGCAAGGGCAAGCTATGATAAATCACAGCGTTAGAACGTATATCAGTCGGCATGCGAGATCATGCATGTTAATGTACCTTTCTGTATGCCTTCTTTATCTCAGCCTCCTCGCAATTCTTCTCGACCGACAAGATCTCATAATAATCTGTAACCTTGCAAGCCTTTACCCGTTTCACAACCTTCAACTGCTCAGCAGTGAATTCCCGTTTCTCCCCTCCCATTCCTCCAGCCGTGCCATTCGCACTGCCCGTACTCCGATGCTTAGCACCAGAAGCGGATGGGTGTGTCTCTGTAGAAGATGACGACGCCTGTGCATTGCCATTTGATGTTGAAGGGCCTGCCCCAGCTGACGAGGAAGACGATCCAGATACCTCCGCGGCCTCGATAGACTCAAGAAACTTTGCAGCGTCAGGTGTGGAGAACAAGTTTATAGATTTTTGACAAAATTTGCGGGCTGAAGGGAGGTTGCCAGCATCCTTGTATTTTTGTGCGATTGAAAGACACTTGATGGCTTCGTCTTTGTTACCTTCCATCGCTTGAAAGTAAACCAACGTCGCTGGTGAGTTGGGTACTTGGGAGGCTTCTCGGGAGTCGGTAAGAGTGAACGTGTCCCTATTCGGCAAGTGCCTTTCGGATTCAATATTGCAGTGCCTGAGCCACGAAAAGTATCTGGCAGCTGCAGGTCACAGCCTGAGGTTGTTGATAGATTATCATGATCATCCACTGAGTACTGAAGTACTGATGTTTCATATCGCAGGCTAATGCAGTGCAGTGCAATGCTTAATGCGAACTCGACCGTTCTCATCTTGTGCGTTCAGCTCTTTGACTTGTACGTTTTCATTGTCCTCTTTTCTTTCGGAATTTACAGAAGGCGTTGGTCTAGCTACAAAGTTCGCATAAGTCCACACTTGCGTCGGTTCCCAGTTTGTAATAATCCGCCTTGCAAATATAACTGACACGTTGCGACTCGGCGCGCTCCTAGTTATGTCCTCATGAATAATGCTACTAGGAACCGACATTCACGGTACAATGATTTTGCTCCTATTGCAATATACACAAGCAGTCTTTTCTGGCAGTCGCGTAAACAGTCGTGCGACAGCAAGACCAGACCGGCCTCAAATCTCACTCCCGGATGTCAGCCTCAGTCAGCCTCCAACTCTTACAAAAGGCTCGTCACCCACCTGCTCTCTCTTCAGTCCGTCTTTTATCGTCGCTTCACGTTTTTTTACACATCCAGCATATCGATATCTTCAACATCTTTATTCATTCTACTATGCCTCCAGATATGCAACAACACACCAGCATTCCCTCATACGACCAGTTCAGACCGCCTAGTCCAGCCAAAGGCCAGCGCAAGGGCAAAGTTCGCTCCTTTCTTCCAAGCTTCGTCGATCGAGCCATCTTCCGCGCCAAGCCAGTTGCCCATCGTGACACTGCTGAGTTGCATCCAGAGGTTGACCCTGCCACTAATGTCGACTATCTTGCAACAAAGTCTCGAATCCTTCCTCACCTTAAAGCACAACTCGACTGCACGGAGACGCGGAAGTCAAGAACGGAAAATAGGGTTCTGCGCACTTCGCTTGTCACTGTCGACAAGGAACGGAAGGCTGCTCCACAAGCCCTCGATGAGGCGCAACGCCATAGCCGTGCTGTTCAAGATCATCTCAAAATGATGCAGTCAGAGGTGCCTGAGATCATCCGGTCATACGATTTCAACATAAACGGGCTGAATATGCGACAGGGTGCTCAGGTCACCAAGCTCCAGTCAAAGCTCTTCAACCAGGACGAACAGATTGCCCATCCGGAGGGCTTTGAGATATCCAGTCCTTTGGTTGAAACTGTTTCTCGCAAGACCAGTACCAGAAAGATCTCGAGCGGATCTCAAGCGGACATTGGTTCCCAAGGCTGTGTGTTGGAGGTCCAAGCCATCGCGGAACATCTATCGAAACCTCAGTCGATCGAGCCAGCAGTGGCTGTCAAAAGGAATTCAACGACGAAGCACGAGACGGAGCGCCGGGGAAACCTAATCAAACGACAACGCAATGTTGGTCATGATGCATCCGAGCGCCGCAAGGATGACGATCCCTTCGCTTCAGAGCCAAATCTAGCACCACATCGCAAGATACGAAACATACTGGCAGATGCGCGAGACAAGACACTTGCTGCAATCTTGGAACTGAAGGACATTCGTCGCAAGGAAGATGGACAGCAATCCTCCCAAGCTTGTCACGGCCCCCGGATAGAGTCTACAGCGTTTCAGGATATTCGACGCTTACTGGCAGATGTGCGGGAGTCTGGAGCCAGGACGCAGGCGACCATTTCGGAAATGAAGGATGCTCGTCCAAAGAAAGATAAACAGCGTCCTTCCCAAGCTTGCCACGGCCACGAAGCGGAGTTCGCAGTGTATCAGGATCAAATCGCTGCCCTTACTTCGGAACGTGATACGCTCTCTCGCGAGCTCGAGCGCAGTACTCGAATGGCGAACTCGAATGCGTTCTTGCTCAATAGCGTAGAATTGCAAGCTCAACGTCTACTCTCCGAGCATGATGCACTTATCCTTGAGCACCAGCAGGAAAAGGCACGCTCGCAGCAACAAATTCGTGAACTTGAGATCCGACTCGAGGAGACCACTGCCTCAGCTTCACGAGCCAGGGGACGTTACAAAGCGGAACGCAAACAACTTCTAGAGGTCGAAGAGCAGCTCAAGCTTGAACGCACACAGTCGGCGCAGAACCACGCAGATCATCTGGATGAGACGCTCATGCTCTTCAGGGAGAATGCGGAGCAGGCCAACTTGATCGAAACCCTCAATAGGGATTTCGCAGAGCAACGTACTACGCTCCAGAAGGTGCATATTCGGTTGGACCTTGCGAACAATGCACAAGCGATTATGAAGCGCAAAGTACGCAAGTATCTACGCCTTTCACAGTTTGTGCTTATATTTTCAAGCTCCAGAAAATGGAAATTACGTCCCAACAAGCTCAGGAGAACGCCAAGCTACTCCATAGTACCCCGCCGAAGGCGCACGCTAACATAATTCGAAACCTCAGCAAGCCCTTGTCGCAGAACGGACCTCGTCAAGTATTACATCCAAGATCCCCACTCGTCACTCAAGAGATCGTGAAGAATGAGAAAGTCCAGCTTCCTGTTGCTGCTACTGGCACTTCCTCTTCGTCGCCCTCCTCCACTCACAAGGTTGATGGCGTCACTTCACAGCACGCCCGTGGGATGCTTTCGTCACCATCAAACAATCCTCCTGTCGCTAGGCCGTCTCAACGAGATCCTCCCAACGACAACTTGGATATCTCCACGGTGTCAATCTTCAGTGACGATGGCGTGGATTTACTCTTGGAACCGAGCGAGGATGTAATAGCGGAAGGCAATGGCTTGGCTACCCTCTATTCGATGCTGTCAGTGGTACGTATGTATGCTCCTAGCCCCATTCGCGGTCCTCCGGAAATTCAGCCTCGACGTCGTAACGTGGATCCTCTCAAGATAACGGCCCATCCCGACGACATGGCAAAATCGGACAGCGTCGCTGTGGGGAAAACCTGTAAGTAATCATCTCTACTCCTCTTCGAATGTCTCCGCTCATCGGGAGTTCAGGGTCGCTATTTCATCTTTGACACAATCTCGTCGTCTTTTTCTTTTCTTTGAACGTTCTCTCTGATTTTCTTTTCGTTTTTTCTGAGAGAACGACAAGCCCTATTTCTTTTATTTCTTCTCTTTCTTTTCTTCCCGGGAGATAGCAGGCAGGTCAAAACAACAAAAATAGGTGGGATCGACGGTATGGTTGGGTTATGGCTAGGTACGGCCTTTATTATTTTATTCCTTAGATAAGTACCAAAAACAGGGAGGGTCGCGGCCGCGCGCGGTAGTGCATATTTTAATTTCATTCGATGTGATTTGGGATAACATCTATTTGTCATCGAATATGCAACAAATCAAATTGCCACAAGAAGGTTTAGGGTATCATGATCCAAAGTATGTTACAAGAAACCTACATGGTAAAAACGGGTATAAATATACGAAAGCTTGCTAGATCAGTAGATTCCGGGTATGAATTTATATTTAACGATAGAACAATAACGCTCCCAGTCCTTACCGTACTTGATCGAGCAGCGTTCAAAGTCACGCCCGCAGCGATGGATGAGTACTGTGATGAAGAAAACCGAGTAAAAGTAAGGAATGATGGTTGCACTCCCGATAACAACACCCCAGCAGAAGCTCATGGTCCAGTCGGCGACATAGTTCTGAGAAAGAGCAACGAGGTTAGCAGGCCGAACACATTATTATGGATCTAGCCTACAGGTTTGCGAGAGTATCTCCACCACCCACTGATGAGGAGGCGGTTTCTAAAATTGCAAGGTAAGAAAGTTGATCAGTTGAGAATTGCCGCAAGACTTGCCCATGAGCTGTCTGGATAAACTCAGGCTTCTTGAGGGTTCCCCCCGGAAGCTGCGGGAATGTGTTGCGGAAAGTTGTGATGCCCTGTGTTTGCATTTTGAAGCGACTCTTTTGAGACATTGAGGTGTCCCAACTATGAGGACAGATGTCAGCTGAATGACGGAAAATGAAATCGTAGTCGTACATGTAGTATGCTGTCAGTAGAATGGTGAAAAGAACGACGTATGTAGGTGTAGAGAATTGATAGTTAGAGGGATCGTGCGAAGCCATGTATACCACAGAGTACACGTAAGTCTGCAACGCCACAGATCAGTAAAAGTTAAAACATGATTGGAGTTGCGTACGAAGGGAACGCCGGCAAAGTTCCAGAAGATGACCATGAAACCCCATCTAAGAAAATGACAATCAGATAAATGAGCATAAGAATTACTACCCACTTCTCATGATACATATCCCACGTTTGGGGGATACACTCTTCGCCCTTCGCGCTGAAAATTGGATCAGGAACGCTAGTTTTAAATTCTCTCGTTGAGACACACCATGCATTAAGGTAGAGCCATGTTGCCAGAATCATGAATGCCATGTTCTACATATGTTTGTAGGTTATTGCGTGACTGAAGCTCCAAAAAAAAGGACGCACAGGGGTGACATAACCATATTGTTCATACTGGTGGCAGCCTCCGGACACGGCCAAAAAGAAGACAATTACCCAAGGAATCCGAACCTCAGCCCACATCTTCAGATCAACAGAGCCGATACGGGGATTCAAACAAGCACCCATGAAGACGTCATAGATGAAGTTCCCAGACATGCGGATCTCGTTTCCGGCTGCAACTGTAATGAAATACATACCAAAGGACACAGCGAAACCGTAAATCATGGCGACGGACATGATGTGGCCATAATTGTCGATAATTTCGGTGAGACGGAAAATGTGGTAGTAGTGCAGAGCAGCAGCAGTCAGCATAGTTGCGTAGAGAGAGTAGAGCGCATTGCAGTTATACATGAGGGTCTTATACCCAAGAGAAGGTACAGGAAGTCCTTCTTGTTGGTACCCTGGCATGACCAATGCTAGGAAGAGCTGATAGATCACGAGACCGGTATAGACTTTCCAAGCGTATGCATTGGGGCTTGCGTCCTGTAGTCAGTTGAGGTTAGGAAGACGTTCAAACTTTCGTGAGTACATACATCGCGAATGTGTGCCCACATCCTCCCAAGGAACGGAACAGTGTCCTCAAATGATGCAGGGTACACAAGTTTACCGTCATAAAACCACAAGCATATCCAGAGATAATACATGAGCATGGGGAAGCCAAGCATCATTGCAGTTACTCCTGCAGGTCCACCGAATTCATACCTAGCAGACGTAAATGTGAAACAGTAAATACGCGCAACGGAAGCAAAACGTACGTCTGATGCTCGTCGAGCAATTGGTCCACTTTACGGCCCTCATCAGTAGTCGTCAGTGACTTTGCAGACGCGTCGACACTGCGCTGTCTCAACTCGTTCCCTGTGCCGCCGTAAGACTGAACCATTTTGCAAAACGAGACAGAACGTGCAAGTCTCAAAGTGGAACGAGACAGGAATTAATATTGAAATTCGCGGAGTTAGCATTATCCTTTAATCTCCGTTTGAACTTTGTTTTTGATCTCCTTTCCCGATAGCCACGTTTCTCGTGTAAACGCTCATCATCTTCAACCCAGGCGAGACCAGACGACGCGTGCCCACTTCATCTGTCTGTAGTCAACGTGTTGGTCAGTTTTGCACTGATTTCATTGTTGTGTATATCGTAGCAGCCGTCCAACAATCCATTCTTTGCCTCTTCATGGCTTCTTCAGTTTTCTACAAGTTCAAGTCCCAGAGGGATGAGTCTCGGGTGACCTTTGATGGCACCGGGATCTCTGTTTTTGACCTGAAAAAGGAAATCATATTGGCCAATAACTTGGGTAAGGCAAATGACTTCGACCTATATGTATATGATGCTTCGGCACAGCAAGGTGCGTTGTAAATGCATCATCCCACATCTGAGACTTCATGTGCATTTCAGAGTATAAAGATGATTCTCAGATCATTCCTCGTTCTTCGTCTGTCATTGTGAAGCGTCTCCCTTCATCGCGCCCAGGAAAGGGCAAAGCAGCCATGTACCTTAGTGGTACCAATGGTGGTACCCACACTCCTACTTCTGATATTATCCAGAGACCTGGTGGAAGTGGTGGTTTATGGCACAAGGGTGCGATGTCGAAGCGCTTTGACCTCAAAGAGGAATCATCTCCTACACCAAAATTAGCTGGCGTGCGTAGTTGTTATATGAAACATACACATCTCGCTCGAGAGCGAGTCTTACATCCAATGCAGCCAACTTCTATTCCCAAAAATGCTGTCACAAAGGACGATGAGGCAGCCGCGATGGCTGCTATGTTCCAGGCCCAGACTGCTAACTGGGAAGAAACCCAGGAAAAGATGTCTCAGTTGGTATCGCGTTTTCGCGCTTTTTGTCTTAGTAGTAGAACGAGTCTCATGAACGTGATTTTGCTTTCTTGTGCCCATCAATTGGGTGTAAACAGCGCTGTGCCCATATATAACAACCCCAGGGGAACATCTAGTCGTGGTGGGAAACCATTTACTCCTCACCAACGTCCCCAGCCAGAACGACCGTTACCTCCTAGCTATGTTTGTTACCGATGTGGGCAGAAAGGTCGGTCGCTGCACAATTGTAGACTGACTGTCTTACACGTAAACCCCTCACAGGTCATTGGATACAAGATTGTCCTACGAATAGCGATCGTGAGTTCGACAACAAGCCTCGAATCAAAAGGACTACTGGTATTCCGCGAAGTTTCTTGAAAGCTGTTGAAAATCCAAATAAAGGCGAGATCACGCAAGGTGTGATGGTCACACCAGAAGGTGGTTATGTCGTTGCCCAGCCTGACTTGTGGGTTTTTGATTCGTTCTATAATGGGATGCATTTTAACTCGACGGCAGGGCTTCTTGGCAGAAACAATTATCCCGTCCGAAGGGTTTGACTGCTGCTGACGTTCGGGAACGCCCTCCTACCGATGCTTCCCTTGCCTGTCCCATAGACAACAGATTATTCCGTGACGCTGTCAAGACGCCTTGCTGTGACACTTCATATTGCGAGGAATGTATCCAGACATATTTACTTGAGCGCGATTTTACCTGCCCCAAGTGCGGCAAGAAGATAGCTTCACTTGACAAAGTTGTCATGGATAAGCCAATGCGAACGAGGGTCGCTGACTATATCGATAAGGTTATGGAAGAGAGTAGAAAAGAAAGTGAAGAGAGCTCCACACATTTCCTTTCTAACGGCCAGGTATGTTCACTGTTCACGTTGTTGTGTTTAGAGAATGAACATATCCCGCATAGGGTGATGCGGACAACTCTATAAATGACGACTTCTATTCAGATCAGCAACCTAGCATGGATATGTCCCAGATGATTGTTGACAACATCCCGTCCCTTCAAGCTCAGATTTCTCAAATATCAATCATGCTTCAGAATCCATCCCTACCGAACCAGGTGCGGCAGACCACAGAAATCAAGTATCAGCAGCTCCAGATGCAACTACAACAAGCTCAAGCTATCGCCGCGACCCTTGCTGTTGCGACCAGTCTTCAGCAACAGCAGCAGCAACAGCAGCAGCAACAACAACAGCAGCAGCAGCAGCAGCAGCAGAACGTCAATCCCTTGGCCTACGGGATGCAAAGTCAGCAGTGGACCAATCAGTTTCCGAGCCAACAACCAGTTGGCCATGACTCTGCTTATCAACGGTTGCCCGTCAACAATCGCCGCCGGAACTTGAAGCGGGATCGTCCCTCAGATTTCTTAGATGTCACTGGTGAAAGTGAACACAAAATGCCCAGGTACTGGGAGTAATTCGAAGTCCTTTGGATGGAGAGGGAGGACTACATTTGTAGCCTACACAGATAGCTAATATGTCGCACTTTGCATGTATACACAAACATTGGCAAAATATAGTTATTTTATCCTGTTATGTCTGATATATAAACAGCGCTGCGAATCGGGTGCTATCTTTTAGTATGAACATGGTACCACGGCGGCCCATGACTCGGAGGCCAGGCTTGTCCAGCACGACTTTAACTCGAGTATGACTGCAAGTCTCGCGAGCTAAGCCTGTCCATTTTCAAGCACGCTAGACTCGTGGCCATTCTATCTATTGTTAGGCAAACCGGGCAGACAATTCGCCAATCTAATTTCCGAGGTGGTTTGATTTGCATGCACAACTTGAATGCGTTCCAATTCACAACGTGTCGGGTGCGAGCCAGAGGTCAGCGCTAGCACCCAGCACTACCTCTAAGTACTACGACACTACGAGATCTAAGTGGTTCATTTTGGGCGGTTTATCATGGATCCAGCGACCAAAAGTTCTGAGTCTGATGTCCATGGGATGCTGACGGATTCAAGTTCTCCAGCTCGCGAAGCCGCCGAAGAGTCTAGGACAGGGACCGCTATATTGACGCATGGACAAGTCGCGACACCTAGGCGGCCTACTACATCCGAGTCTACTGTCACACCCTTGCCCGCTAGACCTCTCTCGTACGCCGAACACACACAAGCCGTAGAGTTTGGCGCTGGCTCTAGTTCAACGCAGGCGGACCCTACTCTTCAACCATCAGAGAAGCATTTGTCGTCGAAAACAGATGACCAGTATCCTGCTAGGTACTCAAGGCACGGTGCCCCAACCCGGGCCTCTTCGGGAGAATTTGACCACCTCGCGCGTGGAACGAGTAGGGGTAGAGATTTCCTCCCCCGGAGGGCGACTTTGTTGGCACAGCGGTATCCCAGTATCCCAAGTGACTTGGTTCCAAAGACTACCTTGCAGGTGAGCTCGAATCACTCTTCTCTAGGGGACACATCTTTAACTGTCTATCTTCCAGCCCAACCGCACCGTCGGGGACCGCCTACAACCAACTATCGCCGCAGCTGAAGATGAAAGAGCCAAATACGCAAGAAAAGGTGCATTTTTATGTTTCTCACCTTTTCGAGTTGAAATATGTTTTACCGCCTAATTGTGCCTTCAGCGATGGGGACAGGCTATGCGCTGAACATTGCCATCGGTCTGCAGGTTCTTCTCGCTAGCCTGACTACTGGTTTATCTGCTGTCGCAGTTGGAAAACAGGTGAACGACTTGAGGAACTTGTTATGTCTTCCACTGATGAACGACCACAGGGCTCTGTCGTGATCGTAATACTTGGTAAGCGACGCGTGGAATAATAGTATTCTATATATAGCTGACTGTTTAACTCATTTCAGGGGCGCTTGCTACTCTAGTCGCATCATACCTTGCTCGTATGCGTGGTTCAAACGAACCAGAGCTTTCAATCACCCGAGTAAAAGACCTTGACCAATTTCTACGAGACTGCAGGGCGTTCCAGCTAGATCACGGCAACGAATATGGAACCGCTGAGAATGGGCTCAATAAAAGAGTGGAGGAGCTCCGGTCCAGATTCGAGGAATTGCTTGGGAATGGAGATGGGTGCGTACAACTCAAGCATGCGGTTATTTTTTTTTCGCTGACCCTGTGGTAATTTTGTAGTCAACGAAAACTGTCTTCCGTTCAATCTTTCCGTGCCGTAACCCTCTCTATATGTTGATCGGATCGTATAATTTTGTCTGCTGTCGAGTTGTATTGCATCGGATTTCATGTTCGCTGTGCACATTGTACATTATCTCATAGTTTACTCAGGAGGAAAACCTATAGAGCGATTCCTTCCAATTCTACCGCTCACCGCCATTGGTAGTGAAATTGCTGTTTTTGTAATCTTGCGGACCTCGGTCCGGGGACAGCACTCATTTGTCACGATGTCACGAGTGTTACGGCACGCGTCCATAACGTGACGCGACGCGTTTGTCATATTGAATCAACGTGTTCGTTTTCTTTTTACTCCATCACATTTTTCAGTCATGGTTAAGGCCAAAGCTAACGCCAAGCAGAAGGCCATCACCTCCTTCTTTGGTGGGAAGAAGGAGCCAAAGGAATCCGTCGATGAAGTTGTCGCAGAGGAGACATCATCTGATGATGGTGGAAAACCTCAAGCCGTTGTAAAGAAAGCACTTGGAAAGAAGGTTAAGAAGCAGAAAGTCAAGGACGATGAAGAAGAAGCATCTGATGATGATGTTCCTGCTCAATCTTCAAAGACAGACGGCAAAATCGAATCATCCACTTTACCACCCATCTATGAAACTCCCGCCATGTTCCGTGACCTGGTGTCTCGCCTTCCAGGAATCAAAGGTGTCGCTGAGCATATCAAAGGTCGAAAACTGCGCGTAGCTACAATGTGTTCTGGCACAGAATCACCTCTACTTGCTCTCGATCTCATTGGCCAGGTTATGCTTGAACAGTATGGCGTTCCTCTTGAATTTGAGCACGTATTCTCTTGCGAGATCGAGCCATTCAAGCAGGCATATATCGAACGCAATTTTCAACCGCCGCTACTGTTTAGAGATGTATGCGAACTGGGAGAATCTCAAGCGTGTGTCATCCCTATACTTATTTGTGTTATGTCCGTTGAACAAACTAATTCATTTAGAACGACGGCCTATGGCGCATTGGCCACTGTCCCTGGAGATGCCGATCTCCTCGTTGCAGGTACATCCTGCGTTGACTACTCTAACCTCAATAATGAGAAGAAGACAATCGATGGCGGAGGCGAATCTGGTCGCACTTTTCATGGCATGATGTCGTGGGTCACAAATCACCGACCTCCATTAGTCATCCTGGAAAATGTTTGTTCAGCGCCGTGGGACAGGGTGAAAGAGTATTTCGAGAAGCAGGGGTACAGCGCAGAACACATTAAGGTGGATACGAAACAGTACTATATCCCGCATACTCGGATGCGGAAGTATCTGTTGGCTGTTGACAAGAGAGGGTCAGGCATACCCGCAAAATGGAAGGACTTAGTGATGAACAAGTTGAAGCGGCCCGCTTCGTCGACACTGGACGCGTTCCTTCTTCCATCTGACGATTCTCGCATTCATCAAGCAAGACAATTACTTGTTCAAGATGGCAGTGGCCCAGAACCCAGAGCCGGTCGCACTGACTGGACTAGATGCGAGTCGCGCCACGCACGTGCTAGGTTAGATGAGAAGTTGGGGCAGAAACGACCGTTAACGGGTTGGGAAGAAGGTAAGCACCTATTGGGTTTCGTAGTTTTCACCCTCGCTGACATCGAACAGGCGGTACTTGCAGACTACCTGATTTTGCATGGCAAGATTGGGGAATACGACAGGTAGAACGAGTCTGGGACCTAATGGATATCAGTCTGCTTCGATCCGCAAAAATGGGTGTTGACCCATCATACAAGACGTTCGTAGCATGTCTTATACACGTTCCCAAGTGGCTAATTTACTGACAGTCTCGTGTGGAACCTTTCGCAAAATGTCGATCGCTCAACCGGATCGAGCAAGACCGGTATCTGCCCTTGTCTAACCCCGTCCATGATTCCATACATCACCAATCGCGGTGGGCCCATGGTTGGTGTTGAGGCACTGGCCATGCAGGGGCTTCCCATTGATAAATTGCTTCTGACGAGGGAAAGCCAAGACGAATTGGCTGACCTTGCGGGAAATGCCATGTCATCAACCGTTGTTGGTGCATGCATACTCTCGGCTTTAGTCGCTGGTCAGAAGTTACTCAAGGCCGGTAACGACACGGAGACGTACGAGATGAAGAAGGATATCGGTCACAAGAACAACGACCGTGCTATGGATGTTGACGTTAGCCTATCTGCCGCCGTTGGTCTTGAAGAACGCATCAAAGGACACGAGGACCTTGTGGAGAGACCGTTAGATTTGGCTGCCACGCAGACGGACTCCATTGCCCGTATTTTGGAGGATGCACAGAAGAGTGTCCGTCTTTGTCAATGCGAGGGCCGCAAGGACATCACGACGCGTGATCTCTTGCGTTGCGTAGATTGCGACTCGTCATCTTGCAAGAGATGTGCAGGCCGTCCTGAGCACAGTTTCGCGCCTCTTGATGTTACGCAGTTGCCACGTCTTAGTCCTTCGGCATTCGTGCGGGGGCTGAAGTCCACTCTGCCTATGTGCATCTCTCTTACCGGTGTCGATAAGAAGCTTCTTGACAGTCTTAGAGAAACTTTAGGCGTCACAATCCCAGAAAAACGCTGGAACAGCTGGTCCTCCGCTGTGTTGAGGGCGACTAACTCAGAGCTCCGCTTTGTCGAACCTAAGCGCCAGGAGATTTGGTCTGCTGTCTATCAATCACCTCACGCTATTTTCGAATTATACCTCGAGCCGAGACAGACCGAGTGGCGCCTTTATGCGAAGCCAAATGACAATGAGCCTGCGAATGCAGAGATCCGTCGCTTACTCCAGATGCCCGTCGCGAGATTCAGATGCAAAAAGGATCTTCTGCAGGGATCTTGGCAGTTTGCTCTTCCTGTTGCACGTGAGGTCACGATTACTATCGAGGGCAGTGGAGGCATGGTTCCTTCTTGGGAAGCTCGTCTTGGCTTACTAGATGACGAGTTCAAGGACAAGGAGGTGCACTCACAGCTTCATATCGCCATCCCCGAATCTCAAATATCTCATTTTGATCGTGATATTTCCGGAGTGTATGTTCTCCTCGACAAGTGTGGGACAGCCAACGGTGCTTTACACAAAAAGCTGCCTAGTGACGATGATGCCTCTTTGCCGCCACTTTTCATGATGCTGGATCCCACAAGATGCGGAAGTCCTGCGGAAGATCCATTCGTCTTTACGACGAGCATGCGGCGATATGATTTCGGAGAGTTCCGCCCCATAATTTGCAAGCTCGACCCTTCATGGAGGCAGTCGGATGTTCAGGGGGAACAGCGCGTCAAATGTCATGTCCCTCTTCACTGGATGGACTCGGAATCGGTCAAAGTTCAAGTGAGTTAATGTCAACACAACCTGCTTGCCTCCCAATTTTGTCTCACTCTCGAACTATAGCCCCTCGAGCTTGGCAATGCATCTTTTGCTGTGCCTAGAGGCACCCTTGAGGCCAGCGTTACGACTGACGCATGCGCAAGTGCCAATGCCCTACTAACGTGCACTGTCCCTCTTCTTGAAGATGCGGGTCCAGAGTGGCCTCGCGGCAATTGGAGAGAAGTCGACAAGGTTCACGAGCGTGGTACTTTCAAGGCCTTGGCTTGGCTGCTGGAGCGTATACGACATGTGGATGATAATTTCGGTCATTGGCAGACCGTCAAAGTTCCAGATGACTTGTTCCACTGCCAACGTTGTGCCCCCACCCCTCCCACTGTTAAGTGGACCAAGAATGGCAAGAAAGCAGCTGCTATTGAAGACAGCCAGGAGGCCGGGCAGTATGAAAGGGACCTCAAGCTTCGTCCGAGCCCTTTCGTCACGCAGTTGAAGATGGATAAGCAAGTCGGTATGGTGAAAGTGGGGCTCAATATTGCTTCTATCCTGCACAGGGCTCTATCACGACTTCCTGCTGCGAATCGCCCTGAGCAACCGGTGCTCAGTTGGCGATTAGATACTGACTTTGCTTCTTCTGTAAAGATCCAGAACCATCCTTTCAAACTCCTCAGTAATAAATCCGATTCCGAGCATTCGCAGCCGCCAAACTTTGATGCGGACAAACTTCCTTTGCGTCCTGAACAGCTCCGTTCCCTCACTTGGATGATCGCTCGAGAAACGGAAAACTCCGAACCCTTCGTCGAGGAAGAGATATCGGAGGCCGTACTGGAGCCTCTGGGGTGGCGAGCAGAAGGTCGGGCACAGCGGCCTGTGCATATTCGAGGTGGTGTTTTGGCAGACCAAGTTGGTTATGGGAAGACAGCAATCACTCTGGGGCTTATCGACTGTACAGCAAAGAGCGTAAAGAAGGAGTTCCAGGAGAAAGGCGATATCATTGGCAAGGTTCCTGTTCAAGCTACACTAGTCATCGTTCCTCCCCATCTCACAAGACAATGGCGCTCAGAAGCACAGAAATTCGCGCGCAACCGATTCAAGAACATTGTGGAGATTTCCACCGCCGCACAGATCAACAATCTCACCATTGAAGATATTCAGGATGCGGACCTAGTCATCGTCGCCTCCAATCTGTTCCAGAGCTCAGTATATCTTGCCAACTTGGAATCCTTCGCTGCTGGAGGCTCCCTACCTACTCAAGATGGGCGTTACTTCAATGTACGCATCGACATCACGCTGCAAGCCCTACGGGATCAAGTCGAACGGCTGAAAACCGAAGGTTCCGCGAGCGTCATGGCAAATATCCGAGATGTTCGAAAACGCGGTAGGTTGAATATATTTCTGCATGACGTAACTCACTTCCAGCAATAGAGGAAGAGTTGGAGGCGCAACTATTTGTTGCACCAAAGCGTCTCAAGGGGAAGGCCTATCAGGAAGCTGTAAGCAAAGAGAAGTCTTCTCTGGTCAAGGTCGATATCAGCGATTCTTCGTCGGAGAGAGACGTTTTCCCTGCCAAACCGACCTCGTCTGGCAAAATCTGCGAAGTTGTCATCACAGTGCCTCGAAAGAAGACGAAAACGGTCGCCCCGGAGACTTCGGACGGCGAGAATTCGGACTCACCACGCCCACGAAAGCGACTCCAACGCAAGGCTTCGAAGAAAGTCATAGTAATCGATTCAGATGACGAGGTAGGATGTGATGCCGGGAGTGATTATGAAGACGAGGGTCCCCAGGATGATCACGCAGATGATGAATCCGCCGGAGACATTTCAGACGAGGCCGATGATGTTCCCGCCAAAAAGTCGTCGAAAACCAAACGACTTACCACCAAACCGTCACGGAAACCATCACCCCCGCCAACCTCGTCATCTGAAGATGGACACTCGGTCGGAGTTTCGTCTGACGCAGAGATGAGCGATATGGATGATGATGTTGGGAAGAAAGGCAGCAAGGGTAAGGGTAGGCAATATGGTATCAAGGCAGCCCCGAAGAGGAAGGCAACGAAGAAGGCAGCCAAGAGCTCTGGTGAAGATACCGACAGTATGGACGTCGATGACCCACCTTCATCTCCTGTGTCTTCTAAAACCTCAAAAAAGCGCAAGACCACGGCTTCTGACGACAAACCTGCCAAAAAGCAGAAGCGGCGAGAAGATACCGACCCATGGAAACTCGAAACCACCGCAGTCAAGAAAGACTGGACACAAGCTCGCGCTCCACCCTTGGAAGTATTCCATTTCTCACGAATCGTCGTCGACGAGTATACCTACCTGAGCGGAAAGGTACACTCAATGGTCACCAAACTGACTGGCGATCGACGCTGGGTGCTATCTGGTACCCCACCGATTCACGATTTCGGCTCTGTGAAGACCATTGCTGCACATCTGAACATTCATCTAGGTATTGATGATAGTGGTGAGGGCAGGTCAGCGATGATCAAGAAACGCATCCGTGAACAAACGAGTGAGATTTTTACGATCAGACAAATAGGACGTGCTGACCATCTTCGCAGAGGTTGAAGAGTTCCATTCATTCCGTGAGGTACACACGCAAGAGTGGCATGCACATCGTCACAGTCTGGGCCAATTGTTCCTTGACATGTTCGTGCGGCAGGTCAGATATACTTCTCATGATCCTTGTAATTGAACTCAATTCGCACTTCAGAATATCGCAGAAATCGACGAGATACCATGCACATTCAAAATCGTCAAAGTCGTTTTGCCTGCCGCAGAACGAGCGATCTACTTGGAACTGGAACATCACCTTCGTGCCATCGACATGGTTGCCAAACGCACGAGGAAGTCAGAGAGCGACCGAGAGAAGCGCCTCAACATCGCACTTGGCGAGAGCAAGTAAGAACAAACATGCGCTGCTACAACCACTGCTTAACATTCATTTTCAGGACCGCAGAGGAAGCTCTTTTGAAGCGTTGCTCTCATTTTGACCTTGAAACCAAAGACAAGGAGAATGCCATGAAAGCTTGTGAGATCATCGTCGAAGAGCGGACCGAGCAGCTGGAGGCCTGTAAGAAAGAACTGCAGAAGGAGCTCCAGAAGGCAGTCAAGAAAGAGAAATCCATTGGCAAGCTCCCAGAAGAGAGCATGTTCCAGGAGTACGCTCGCGTTTCCAGAGATGAAGGCGGTGTCGGAGACCATGAAGCTACGGAGACGATTCGGGATCTTCTCACAAAGGCTGAAGTCCCAGTTTTATCTTCGACCTACTGGAAAAACAAGGCCAAAGGCGACATGAACCTAGCGGAGAAAACGAAGGAGGCTGTCTGGGAACACCGTGAGCACACGCACGTTATCCGTAAGCTCACGAAGGAACTCGTTGGACGCGTCCGGTCGCTTCGTTATTTCACTGTTGTGCGCGACCTGCAGAAACAAAGAGATACGCCTCCTGTCGTCTCGTGTCCAGCATGCGAGCGCAGCGAGATACCCATGGACGAAGTTGCTGTACTGTCTTCATGCGGCCACACGGGCTGCATGTCATGTGTCAAGGAAGCTGCTAACCGAGAGGAATGTGTTTACCATCCCTCGGGTCAATGCAACGCTGCCGCTCGTGCTCTCAACATCGTCAAGGGAGAAACTCTGGGAGTTGATGATGAAGCCCGCGATGGACGCGGCAAGCACTACGGGAAGAAACTGGAGATGGTTGTGGACCTTGTCAAGTACGTGGTCCCGTTGTGCTTTCGTGACCATACTAACGGTCTTTGGCTTTAGGAACCAAATCCCGAAAAAGGACCGTGTTCTCATTTTCGTCCAGTTCCCTGATCTTATGGCGAAAGTCGCTCATGCATTGAAGATGCACAAGATCGAGTTCTTGGAAATCAACGGCTCTGCAACCCAGAAAAGCAAGAACTTGGAGCAGTTCCAGAACGACAGCAAAGAGCGTGTACTTCTGTTGAACGTCATGGACGAGAGCGCCAGCGGTGCGAATTTGACGGTTGCCAACCATGGAATCTTTCTTTCCCCTCTCCTTGCTCAGAGCCAGGAGATTTATGACGCTTGCGAGATCCAGGCAATTGGACGACTGAGGAGGTATGGGCAGATCAAGCATGTTAGCATTCACCGGTTCATAACGACGGACACGATCGATGTTGAGATATTCGAGGAGAGGGCCAAGGTGAAAGTCTAGGGCACGGTAAAGCATTGCGTATGGAATCCACGCAACTTGGGCACAGCAAATTGACGGACTGGCACAACCCTAGCATATAGGATACCAAGGAGAGATATACTTATCATTTAGCACAAATATGTCACATCTATGTACAATAAATCTACGTAAATTTACGACTGAAAGGTTGATCAAGCTCAGTATCACGGACTACAAGAGATGTTTGTACGCTACGTTCATTTGATGTTGTGTCTTTCCTAGAAATGTTCAGATGTCGCACCGACATAATATCACTCATGTGGGATACTTGATGGGCTTGGGCTACTCGGCCGACCTTAGAGCTAGTTCGGAAACTCGATATTGGCCAATATTCACTTTGGCAATGTTTGCAGAATGTTCATCGGCATCGTTCCGAGATGTCGGAGCTTGAACCTTGCTTCTCTCCTTACTGTACATATTATCGATGGATGTCTACCCTCATCTTACACTAGAACGGCGCAAGAGGCTTTTTGCTGGTGCTGTCGCGATCACTGCGATCTGTGCCCAATACACTACTCTTCTCATGGCCCAACCTGGAGTTAATGCTCCCCCTCAGTCCAAAGCCCCCCCTGCCCAGTGGAATGACGCTGAGACCGCAGCCCTTGTGGACTATCTATATGATCATCGCTCAGAGGCTGAAGGGGCAGGCAACTTCAAGCAACAGGTTCTTAGCTCTGCTGCAGAGTACATCAACAACCATGAGGCACTTCAATCCACTCGGGCAGGCCCACTGAAGACAGCTAAATCCACTCGAAACAAGTGGACTTCAGTATGTCCGATCTGATCCAATTTGATCTAAGCTAATGAGTCCTCTAGCTCAAAACCACTTTTCATGCCATTGAGAAGTATCGCAATCAGACAGGGGTCCACTGGGACAATGAGACTGGAGGTGGAATTGAAGGACCTTCGGCTGCGACTGTATGGACATCGTATATCAAGGTATTTCCCCTCGTTTTTATATTTATTTGAGAATTAACATCCTGTTAGACAAACAATCTCATGCGTCCATTCCGCAACAAAGGATGGGAGCATTACGAAAAAATGCAGACCATTATTCCATTGGGTGGCGCTAGAGGACGTCATGTTTTCCGTCCAGGTGGCACTGCTCCCTCCATCACCAATCCTGACAGCGACCTCGCGGATGCTGCCCCACAGGCTGCTGGCTCATCAAGTGCTGCTGCTGGCCCATCAAGTGCTGCTGCTGGCCCATCAAGTGCTGTTGCTGGCTCATCAAGCGCTGCCCCCACCACTACTTCCATCGCTAGCTCCACTCCTGCGCGTTCCACCGCTATGTCTGCCTCTACCGCTGCTGGCTCTAATGCCAGCAAGCGACCGTATTCAGATGTGATGGGGGACGTTGAGACAACGTCAATCGCCTCCACTCACATGTCGTCCATGCAACCTCCTTCCACCACATTGGTGTCATCCCCCCCATCCAAGAAACCACGGACGCCAGTGGTGTCCCAGAACAGCCGCATCACCAAGATCAGCAGTGCCGCCAAGGCTGCGAAGATCACACCGGCAGCGGCAGTTGTGGGGATGCAGGGCACCATTAATCGGCTCACAGACGTCTTTGAATGGTTCGTTAGAGGAGGGCCTGATGGTGCGCAAGGTAGTGAGGACTTGGTCATGCGAGCCGTCAAAATCTTGGAAGGCGAAGACTCTGACATACCGCCGGACCAGCAGGCCGATTTGATCGCTATCATCGGCTCAAAGGGCAATGAACACTACCTCAAGTTCTACGTGACTCTCCAGGAGAAGCAGAGGAGGCGTGCATTTGTGGAGAAGCTGATTGGCGAGTCAGTTGCTGCTGGTGATGCGGCTGGTCCAGCGCGTGCTGATGCTGAAATGACGGGCTGAGTCGTCTCACTTGGACAATGTTTGTTTGTTTCCAATCATGCTGTGTTCGCTCGTTACTTGTTTCACTATACTTTGTACTACTAGCTGTGACCGCATATCTTTTGTTTTGTGGCAATAACAAAGTGCTTTGTTCATTGATTTGGAGCAGACTAAGTACTAAGTATAACTACACATCACTAGCAGCATCCTCATTGTCATCAGCAACGTCCTCGTCTTCATCACCGTCCATGATATCAAGTCCTTCTAAACCACGTTCCAGTACAACACGCTGATACTGAGTCCACATCGCTGCTGCAATGCGATCACGCATTGCAGCTCCTTGACGGAATTCATCCTCGTCATCCTCTTCAATAGCGGCCGCATCATCTTCTGCAACCACGTCAGCGTCAAGACCATCCTCAAAAAAGCCGTCTTCATCGTCTTCGTCATTAGCGGGTGGCTGACCATCACTAGGGTCATTTATACGTATGTAGTTATGCATGGCGCACAACGCGGCTGGAATTTGTGCTTGAATCTCCATAGCGTATGCAGGTGGTAGGAGTAGTATGCGATATCGTTTCTTGAGAATGCCAAAGATGCGCTCAACGACGTTTCGTGCTGACGCGTGACGCAGATTGAACAATTCTTCTTTATTTGAGGGCCTGTAAAACGTAGAACTTAGCACAACGTTTGCAAATCAATTGAGAACTTACCGTGTATTTGCGCGGCCCCATTCGGCAAGATGATAACGCACACTTCGGTAGGGCACCAGTAGCCCGCGACGTAGAGGATATCCTGCGTCGGCAAGAAAAAACTTTCCAGCAGGAGTGTGAAAGTCGAAAGAGCATGCATCCTCGTAGACACGCGCATCAGTGGCCGACCCTTCCCAGCCCGTGAGCGTGTACGTGAAGTTCAGATCAAAATCGCACGCGAAGAGGCAGTTCTGGGATACGAAGCCTTTGCGATTACGATAGACGGGACGTTCGATGGCCTTAGGCGTGACGTGGATATGAGTGCCGTCAAGCGCCCCAATAGCGTCCTTGAAAAAGGGCCACCATTTGGGGTTCTTCCGAACTTTGCGAGAGACTGAACCATCTGGAAAGCGTACGTATTTTGGATAGAAAGGGTCAGACGTGAAAATGATAAGCATCTTGCGGAAATAACTGCATAACATCAAATACTGTCGCTCAAATTAAAATTAAAAACTTACCGTGAAATCGTTTCGTTCGAGCGTTGGAATCTCTCAGCAACGTGCCTGATTGATAGGCCAGTCACGGAGGTGTAGAGAAAAATCGCAAGTTGTTCCTCGAGGGACACGAACTTGGAGTCTGAATGGCCCATGGTGCGAAGCTCGGAGATAAGCTCCACAAAAGCATTGGCATGCATGCCAAGCTCACACCTAATGCGTTCTGGGTGACCTGTCAGCAACTCGATAACCCAGTCTTGCCCGGATAGAGCTGAAGTATGGTAGGGTTCCGGGTCTTTAGGATATATGGTCTGTAGTACACTATGGGTGGCAGCAACAACAATGCTGATGACTAGTACCATACATTTCAGTAGTCGTTCCCGGACCTCTGGCCGATTATTCGTCACGAGCGCAGCTAGGTGTTGACGATTCATTGCGAACCCCGGTGGTTGATCCATGAGTCAATATAAAGGTATCAATACCCTCGCTATCACTGATCATATCGATAAGCGGCCAAATTCAAGCTCCGACATCTCGGAACGATGCCGATGAACATTCTGCAAACATTGCCAAAGTGAATATTGGCCAATATCGAGTTTCCGAACTAGCTCTTACAGCCATTTGCATAACGCTAGGCCTAAGCAAAAAAAATACATACACTCGGCAACAAGTCGGATCCTGAACATTTCAACTCCCGACGCTTGATCTTGATCCACGATGGGACGACACATATCCAAGGAACGAAAGCAGATTGCTCTGCAAATGAGCGTGCTGGGCATTCGGGATCCAATGATCCGTCGTTACACTGGCATAAGTGAGCGTTCACTGCGCTACATCCGGAAGACATTTCGGGAGACTGGCGAAGTCGTGAGGACACCAGTTTGTGCAGGTCGACCTCGCGTCCTCGATTCCCTCGATGCAAATGTGAGTTATTGTTTAATTTTAGTATTACTCATATGTGACTCCTTAGTTCCTCGAGGCATGCATTGAGCGACAACCAGATATTCTCCTCACCGAAATGCAAGATCAGCTGCGGGAGATCTGTGGTTCTGAAGTCTCGATTGCAACAATTTCAAGAACGATGCGTAGGCGAGGGTTTACACGGAAGAAGGTAGGTCATCACTCACTTGTCCTTACTGATATGTATGATTCAATACAGCACTGTCTAGGTTACACGCCCTTCTGTCGAACGTGACGAAGATGATCGTGCTGCCTTCAAGATGCTTATAGGGGAACATTTCCAGCCAGAACACCTTGTATTTGCAGATGAATGTCATTTCAACCGAATTTCCCTTCGCCGTGATTTTGCTTGGGCTCCTATTGGACAGCGTGCGCGACGGCGGGACTTTTTTATACGTGGCAAAAGGTACTTTTGTAGAAATTCTCTTGTCAATGCGTTGATGTTTTGTTAGATATTCAATTCTTCCAGCATTATCACTCAACGGTATCCTGCATTTGGAGGTTCTAGACCATTCGTTCTCTGGTGAAGAATTCGCGCATTTTGTTTCTGGTGTATTAGACCAAATGCAGCCCTGGCCCATGCCAAACTCGGTGTTGGTCATGGACAACGCAAGCATCCACAAAGTCCCAGGTATTCGTGACATGGTTGAAGAGCGGTATGCTAGTCCTTATCTCATGCTCAATGATACTGATTCTCTTTTGTGTATAGTGGTATGCGGCTCTTGTACCTGCCCTCTTATTCACCCGATTTGAATCCTATCGAGGAGGCCTTTTCGGCCATCAAGGCTTGGCTTCGCTCAAACCGTGACTATGTCCTTGGTGAGACTGAGGGTCCAGCTTGCGACCCATACACTTTGATATGGGAAGCTGTGTATGGTGTTGTCACAAGTGAAAAGGCTCATGGTTGGTACAAGCATAGCGAATATATCGCGTAATGGTGGGGTCATTATGGAGTGTGTTGAAACTACCCTTGCAGGCGTGTTGAAACTGCCAGCAGTGCTATGTTACTAAGTGATTAATTTGTATCAGGTCAGGAATTCCTCGTGCCCCTCGGTCTCATCATCACTCGTGTACTCGTCAGACTCGCCACTTCTATACCCATCAGTCCATGATTCTCCTTCCTGCCATGTGTCATCCTCAGCCTCGACAGCGCGTTCCTTGCCTTTATTCTGAGTCCCTGGGCTGGGTATCTCTGGTTCCTCGTAGGAATTGACGAGTCCAAGGAGCGGTAGAACAGTCCGTTTAGCATAATTGCGGAGGATTCTGGCTCGCCTTTGTCCCATATTGCCGATCACACTCAGCACATCCTCCGGTAGAAGTATTACTTGGCTCGATAAAACTACCCCTGCATCTAGCAGGGGTGTTTCAAGTTCGGCAAGTCGCAATTCTGGTCTTTCAGCATTGATCAGTTCAAGCAGCACCCCAACTTTTGGATAGTCTGGAAATGATGCGCTAGGGATATGGCTTGCAGATTCAAAGTGACGTGGCTGCGAAAGCGGCGGAGGACTGGGAGTCTTCGACCAAGCTGTGGTATCAAAGTGGCGTGGCTGCGAAAGCGGCGGAGGACTGGGTGTCTTTGACTTAGCTGCGGTAGGATCTGCTGTTATATTCTGTATGGTAACATGGACTTCAGGTGATGATGCCGACCTCGAGTGACGAGGCTTTTTGGTTGGGCCGCGGTCGAAATTGAGGCAGTGAGGTGGGTTGTAGATTGTTGCGTGACCAAGAGCCTAACCCAGTTAAGTTTTTTTCTCTCTCTTGTGGATGCGAGACTTACAATCTTTTTAGCCCAGAGAGTCATCTCAGCGTGATCAAGTCGACGATGGTTATCATAGCCACTCGTGCGATCTACGAAACAATGACCGTGGTGAAGTTCGCATCGAATCTGGCTCTCAAGCTGTTTGTAAGCTTTGAGTTGCGTCACATCCTCGTCACTTGATGCTGGAGGGATATCATCTGTGCGTGTCCTCTTTTTTGCTTTGGC